CGAATGTTACATTTGTCCTGATCATGCAGGGGCTTTTCTCCCACTCCTTCAATGGTATTCCATGGTTAAATATGTCCCACTGAACATAGTCACACATGGCTGTCACTGGTGCCTATGTTATTCAATTTTTTCGCTTTTGCCTTAAACATGGTTGATCATGTTATATCACGGTGTCTTTTTCACCTTACAAATCTTCAACCATGTTATACTATTGTTTGCTGTTGCTGCCTTTTCGATATCATACATGGCCATTGTCTCCATGATCATACACGGTTCACAAAGCCCCTACGTTGGTAATTTTGTTCATGGTCCGCGACAATGGTCAAATTTGTGCCATTGAACGTATGTAGTTGACAATTGTTTGGTTGAACGTGGTCAAGCCATAGTTTCACCATTGCTGGATCATTTTAAACCATGGTAGCTGACCATGATCATCAATGATAAAACAATGGCTGACCATATTAAGTCTGACTATGGTACTGACGCTGAGGAATTGGGCTCTCCAACAGATCGGGGTTAGCCTCCCACGCAGACGTTTCTAGGGTAGTCTTTACTCCCCCCCCCCCCCCAGAAACCGCCTCTTGCTTACCCGAAACCAACATTTCTTTCCGCCGCTTAGCCAGTTATATTGTACCTACCAAAGTCTGGTGGGCTGACATTGACCGAAGTTGACCGCATAAGAATTTCCGCGCAAATCGAGCCGGAACGATGTAAACAGAATATATAGGACACGGAATTTAATATAGTGAACAACTAAATTTAACGACAGCGCACCAACTGGTCACGCGACACTGTTCAACCAGTGAGAAGGGCGCGCTTTTGTTTATCGATCAACGACCCAGTGAACAAAAATTTTTCACAATGGCGGACGGAGACGGACAGATTCTAACATGAGCTTACAGTACTCGTGTAGGTTTCACTCTATTGGAAAGAAAACACTTGATGTAAGAGAATAAGAGTATCATTCATTGCAAGGAATCGTTGGGGTGTTCGAATATTCCGGACCGATCACAAAGGTCGTGGCTTCACTGGCATAGCTTGCAAGATTTGATAGAAGCAAACTATTCCTGTGTAAAAATAGCCGTAGAGAGTGAATGAAAATGTTTTGAGATCGTACGAAACAGGATTGGTACCACTTATTAACTTCTACAGTACAAGAATCAAAGAACCAGTCATCATAACACGAATAAAAAGTAGTTCAAATTTATTAATATTTCTTGGTTGTTTTTTTTGTGTGTGTGTGTGTGTTGTTTCGTGTTGACTTCACGCATCTGGTGCTTTCTTTGCTTGCTGTAGTACCTGTAAGGTTTCAATTTCAAACCGGATTGTCAGTGTTCAATGATCATGAGTAGCGATCATGATTTACGTTGAAATTTGCCTTGAGTCTTACTTTGATTTTTTTTTTTTTCATACTGTAGATGAACATCTGGAGAATCCAACAGTAATAAATCTTTCCAGATTTGGCGAGTTTCAAAAACAAGGCGGTTAGTATCTACCTTGCGCTTATGACCTTTTGTGTTTTGGACCTCGGAATAAAAAATTGTCTACCAAAATTCTAGCTTGTCTACCATCTCCATATTCAACATGAAAATCGAGGAAAAATATCTAGAACTTCGTCAAAAATCTGTGAATCCAAAAAATGCTAGATACTTGTTCACCTATCGTGATAACCGACAAAAATCTCGCCTACATCGCGTTGTTTAAAAGAAGACATAAGCCACAAAATGTGCCGAATATTTCACGAGGAATTTTCAATATGGCTTCCGATATGCTGCGCACTTAAAAAAAAAATTGTGTATACCTCATGAAAAGTCTTCGAAATATGCCTGAGAGCCTCGAAAGGGTCACTCTGGTCGTTTAAGTAATCGATCCGCCATTTTCCTAGAGAAAAATAGCTCAATGACGTCACAACTGTCCTTAAATTTAGGGATATTCCGAACTTCGGTTAGTCTGAGTTATTTGTGGAGAAAGTAGCCTATTCGGTTGTTTTTGACACTCTAATAAATGTCGGAGAGAATGTCATTTAAGTCCCACCTACACATTAGGAAAAGTTCTGTCGACGAGGCCTGTGTTATAAAGCAATGTTTATAGCAGGAAAGATAAAACAATTTTATGGCAGTGTAGTTTCTAGATGAGTAATTTTCAGAGACTTCTTCGCCACTGAAGTTCTTTGTTGTTGTATGGATCCAGAGTTCTGATGTTGCTGAAATTTAAACCGACTGCCGGCTGGATCAAGCGAAAAAGGTCAACTTCGGTTTTCCCGAAAATTTAACTCACCCTGCAGATGACTGACTTAAAGCATCGCACAAAAAACGCTAGTATTTATTTGAAATAATTCCTATTTCTAATCTCACAGCGCCCGCATTTCTTGAGTTGCAGTTGTGCCTTTGAGTGAACGTGAGGCTGCGGTTGTCCTCGTTAGGAATAATCTGCAACGCGTTTTTCGCCCTCCGGGGGAGAGTACTCCCTTATATAGGCTACATAGGTATAAGCGGCGCCAAAAGGGATGGATTTTTAACAGTTTTGGTCTGAAATAAGGTATGGTTTGTGCACTCTAGTCTTGAATTGGGTATGTTTTTTAGAAGAAGCTATTTCTTCATCATTTGGCGACAAGACCATTTCCCTTTTAATGTTTACGCCAACCGTGTACGTGCCGTAACAGCTTGTCTCGCGCTTCTGTCACGCGACGGGCTCCAGGTCTTCAGGTCTGAAAAAGGGTATCATATTTTTGATCAGGTCTGAAACAGGGTAGCGAAAATCACAGATTTTGGTCTGAAATAGAGTAAGGGTTTCAGGAAACGTGAATCACACCCCCACCCAGTTTTCCTGGAAGTACCCACCCGGGGTTTTTCATCTTATTTTATACACAAATGGAGGGTCATTATGCCAGGCGTTCCTTGTGGAGACCGTGGAAACTGGGATTAAGAATCGTTGCGTGATCGAAGCCACGCATGTTTAGGGAAGACTAAATTTAGAGCTTTTCCGAAACATGTCGGCCCACGAATTCTATCGCTTCAAAACGTTGATCACTTTGGAACAAGTGAACACTACTGAGTAGTTAACAAAAAAATAAGAAGAAGAAGAAGAAGAAGAAGAAGAAGAAGAAGAAGAAGAAGAAGAAGAAGAAGAAGAAGAAGAATCTGAATTAGCAAAACTGCGATGGTCGGGTGTTGTAAACTTTCATTGAATGCAGATGGATCTTGTGACGAGAATGCAGTTTATTTTCGGCGATGATTGAAATGAGGTGCCATGTAAATCAATTTTTTTTTTATCTCTGGCCATTATGTAATTTCTCTGGAATCGAGGTCCTTGAATCTTCGTGTATATACACACGTGTATAGCTTGCGACCGCAGACGTATTTCTGGGCGTCGCTAACGCACGAACTAAATCAATTCAGAAACAAGTAAAAAGTCTCGAAGTCGATAAAGTAGAAGTAAAAAACCTTTAGCGAGTAAATCCTGTTTCGTGTAGAATTAATCGCCTCCTCATTTCTCGATCTAACCTCCAAGCAAGCGAGACTGAATGAGGCTGTAAGCGCGCACTTGTTTTGATGAAAACCTCCTTCCCTTTGCAAGGAGCATTATGCTTGAAAAATAGTTAGCGAAAGAACAACATGATTTACGTAATAAAGCAGGAAGGGTTGTATCAAAAGAAGGTTAACTCCAGCTTCGTTTTCACAAGTAACTGTAAAATGGGCTATTCGCGGGAAATTTTAAAATAATACACCCCACTGCTGATTGGTCACATTACCATGAGGGTAAAACAATGGGAAAGGAATGCTGAACTTGGGTAAGCAGGAGTTTGTGGGAGGGAGGAAATACGACTCCTCTAAGAACGTCTGTGTGGGAGGCTAGAACGAGGTCTGCTAATAAATAAAATAAACTGCGTATTATAATTTCTCGTGAAAGCGAGGTTAATAAATCTGTCGGAATTTGCATTGCGTTTGGCTCCCACGAGAATCACAAGCCAAGCAAAGAGCTTATGGCGGCCGTTAAGCCCGAGAGTAAATTAACACCGAAATAATGCAAAATGGCATTGCAATACTCGTTTAAGCAAGTTTTTCTCAAGTTTATCTTTGAATGCGTGATAAATACAGCTCCACAAGCTTCAAACAGCGTGTATGGCAGAGGAAAATGCTTGAAGTGTAAGAATTTTACCGAATCAATTTTTCAATGTCAGCGTGGCCAAGTGATATGGGTTTTCTTTGAACATTTTTCTCTGTTTAGTTTTAGATTTTTTTATCACATTTTTTCCCTTTCGCTTGTTTCGCTTTATCCTCACTGCTGACCTTTTTAGCCTCGCGAGGTTTTTTGCGATAACGTATTTCTAGTAAGACAAAATAAAACGTATAGAGGGAGATCATATGGCTTCATCAAATTATTTAAAATTACAACAGAACATTGAAACTCTCACCTTTAGTGACTGATATTTTAGCAACCTTGATGGGATTTCCCTTTAAAACGACCTATAGTATTTGTGGTCAACAAAAAGTTATATTTATAATTATATACATAAGAATTATTATATGCATTTACAGATAGAAATATGTTCTGTTGCTTGTAACATACCGGTATTCAGATACTTAACAATTATTCGACGCTTTGGGTATGAGATGGTAGTAGCCAACAAAGCACGTAGCGCCGAGTTGGCTATAATCATCTCATATCCAACTAGCGAGTGTGGAATAATTGTTTTATTAAAAACGCCTACAAAATATCGAGAATTCTTCCCGACTTCATTTGTAAAAACAACCGATTTTCAGCTTCTTTTAATTTTGAGCAGACGCGTACAGTTACCATATTTGGAGAGCATGGTTTTATGGCTCATATACCATGATGGCTAAGCCAACGAGAGCGCTAGAATTGTTTTATCTAATGATTCAGTTTTTAAAAAAATCCTTTACATGGTGTTAGACCCGAGCATGTTGTTGTCTGAATGGCATTATTGTCTTTGAATGGACTTTCAGTTAAACTAGATTTACCTTTTCGGTTCTGTCATAAGTCAAAGCTCTCTGGAAGAAAATATAATCCTCCCCTTGTTGTAAGGCGGTATTTTTGTAAGCTCCATAGTTTTTCTCATCACCAACTGTGAATTTCCAGGTTGTCTCGTGCACTGGATCGTTACTTATCTCAGCAGAAACGTAAAAGTCGATGTTGTATTGCGAAGCACCCTCTGAATTTTTGAGCTTGGAATCAAAATCGGGTGGAAGGTTCTCGGTGCCATCAGCCACCTTCAGAACTATAACCTGATAAGCACTGAAAAAATGAATGAATGTAGTGTTTTTAGTGTGTTTGTTACTTGGAAGGGGTGAAATTTTTGCTTGGTGAATATTTTGAGGTCTTCTGGTGCCCTAATATACGATGTTGGTACAATAATTATGAAGTGTGACTTCGGAGTGATCATTGATTCAAAGAGCGAAAACAGATCGGACCAAACTATCAGATGGTTATTAGTGTCAGTTGTAGGAACGCTAATCAAAATTATTTATTTACTATAGGGATCCATTGCGTTAGGTTAAGAGTATTAGAAGATAGAGGAATGATTCAACCAGCTTTTTAGTGAAATATAATTTAAGTCTTATCTTTATTTATTTATTCATTCATTAATTTACTCATTTTCCTTTTTCCCTTTTATGCACTCCAGTAATAAATCTGTTATTAACAGGGTTCATAGAAAAACTGCAGCCATTTTTCGAGGACGTTCCAAGGACCACATTAGATTTTCAAGGACCATGTACTAGGAATATAATTTCACAGATTGTACAAAAATTCACATTCCCAGTTTATTCTAATAAGGCTTGAACTGGTTGCTTCCGACCAACTTCTCTACTTTTTTCAGTTCACCTGTATAAGACATAAAGCACTTTATTTAAATCACCTTTAAATTCTCTAAACTATGATTTGTATTCGGTCTTAGACAACCAAAAAGCATCAAAAAATACTTTCCAGGCAACTACATTCAAAGTTGAAGAAAATTCAAGGACTTTTCAATGACTTGCACAGGAATTTAAGGACTTTTCAAGGAAAAATGGAAATTGAAATTGTACAGCTTCAAAACTGCGATTCACATAAGCTTTAAATATTCATAACAAAAATAAGAAAACAATTCTGAAAGTCTACCTTATTCAAAATAAAGACATTAACTACCTCAGTTTTCTTTTGACTAGGACTGAGTATTTTCTGATCCTTTTTTCCGAAAGCAAAACAAACTTTTTATACAAACTTGTTAAACTTTGTAAGTACCTGGTAAGTTAAATTGAAAACTACATGAGTATAAAACCCACCTTTCGGTTTGATTGCACATAGCTCATATAGCTGAATGGCGTTTACGACGAAAAACAAGACTTGAACTGAAATAAGCAACAGGTACACGATATATGTTCGTACTGTTCGGTTAGCAAGTTTTCAAAACTTCCTGGCTAGTGCTCTAAAGACAGCTCAACCATACATCTCTTCGACTTGTTCGGTTATTTTAACGGCTCGAAAATCTTTCCTTAGAATAATTTTTAACCTTGGGCTAGTTTGCGACTATATATTTCGAGAAAATAAACATCGCTGATCTCATTCTTGTTCTGAAGTTTGGAAAACAATAAATTCCTAATGTTATGCAGGGCAGAAGTTACAATTAGTGCAAAACTTCGCCGCCCGCGTATTAACAGATACTAAAAAGATTGATCACATCTCGCCTGTTCTTCGAGAGTTAGGGTGGCCCTCCATCAAAGATCAGCTATTAGTCCGTGATACTATATACCTAAGTATACAAAATTGTTAATAACCTCGCTCCGTTGTACTTGAGTAGTAAACTCAGTAAGTGATCAGACGCACAACACGGGGAAAAGGGACAATCTAAATCTCCCTCTATGCAGAACAGTTACTACACAACGGTCGTTTTACTATCGCGCTGTAAGTGCCTGGAACCCTCTGACCGCTGACACTACAAATAGCCCGTAACTATGTACCTTTAAGAGGAGCGTCAAAAGCGAATTGCGGGAGAAGACCCCATACGGTAAATGGTTTATATTTGATTTAGTTTAGATCTCCAAATTGTACGCGCATAGTTTAGGCTTTTAGTTTCGTACCAAGATTGTAATCAATTTAAGCTTTTTCTTCTTATCCCCTTCTTTTTTAGCATTTGTAGATTAACTTCAGAATAGCCCTTTGGGAGAGTTAATAAAAATTATTGTATTGTACTGGCAGTGAGGTGTCTCAACCTGTCAAATTTCTAGCCAATGGAACTCAGTTACTTGTCTTCAGTAGCCAATCACCAAGCGAGAAAAGTTATTGACAATAACATTATGCTAGTTTTTTTGTTACTGTAAATTGACACTAGGTTTTTATATATGTCAGTCCTCTTATTAATGATAAAATGATGTCTTATCATTGTCAAAGTTTCATGGATCTACGAGCCACTTAAGCAAACCGCTGGTCAATTTTTGTTGCACATTTCCACCCTGGATAGATCCCTTTGAGTAACAAGAAGTATATGTAAATTAAGAAATGGTAAACGTGCGTGCATCCATAAATCCATGGTTGCACAGCTGCAACGTTTACCATTTCTTTTATAACATAATTAAAAGAGATAAACATTATTTTCCATTTGCCTTCGCTTGAGTCATCGGTCCGAGTTCATGTATGCTGCCATCTGCCCGCGCGTAAACAAATCATGTTCTATGTTTTTCAAAAACTTGCCTTTGAGTTTTTCTTTTGCTGAATCAACCGTTCTCCGTCTTCAGGAAAATTGCAAAACGTTTTTTGTTGTTATTCTGAATGGCATCTGTCTACTTGCTCTCAGGGTAAAAACTTTGAGGGAAAACTATAGCTGCAACTATAAACACCAACTAAAAAGACTCTAAAAAATAAGCTAAAACTAAATAAATGAAATGAGAGTTTGACTAATAGTCGCGGGTCGCGGGTCGCGGGTCGCGGGTCCAATGTCGCGGCAGGGAGTCGGCAGGGGAAAATGATTTGGGGTTCGAGGTAACAGCCGAATGAAAACGACTGATATGAACACAATATAAAGGGAAAAAATCTTTTTTATGCACGATACTCTACGGTAGCCAATTACAGGTTACGGATGTTAGAGTCAACAAAATAATGTCTCAAGAAAAGACCTAAAAGAAAAAGTTGGCCGACTTTTGTGTTCAGCGCAAGTTTATATTTTTTTCTTTCTATCGGGCCCAGTTACGCGTAAATTCAGCTTTGAATATACTTATGCATAACAGTATCTGATAAAAAAGTTACCATAAGTTACCATTGCTTTCTTCTTGTCGATAAATTGCTCACAAATGCTTAGGGGTTCAATTACTGGAAAATATGCGATACACTTCATAGACTACAGATTATAAACGTTACAACAACTTAAAGCCTTTTTTTAAAAAAAGCCAACTAGGGCTCAAAAAGCTACGAGTCTGTCGGTAGAAGAAACGAGAACTCTTATATTTAACAAATGTTTTCGGCAAAACTGAAAGAAAATGTAAACAGGCGCATGAAACTTCATTCAAGCGGTATTCAAGGCATGGATTTAATATGGAAACAAGTAAAAATCCACAGAAAGGAGTCTGTTCCTAGAAGCAAGATTTTCGCTTAATGCTTTTATTTTTACAACTGAGACGGCAACCCAGAGTGTTCAATATAACTTCTTGTTCTCTTCACCTAAATGGCAACCAGGACAACCTGACAATAGGAAGCCATTCAATGTGCGTCTCAGTCAAATCTTGAAAACATGCATCGTAAATAACTAAGTGAGTAAGTAGGTAAGGAAATAATAACGCCCGATATCATGAAGCTGAAAAAGAAAGAAAACCGGACACTGAAAACGGTAAGTTATCAACTCCACCAGAGCTAAGAAAAGACAATAAATTAGGTAAGTAATTCCAGATTCCACGTACTGGATTTAAGTCCCGAATTCAAGTCTTTGTCAGTAGAACCAAGAGACTATGATCTATTCTCTCCTGGTAGAACTTGGATTCCGGATTTCAATCGTTAGTGGGAACAAACTCGAGCTCCTTTCTGTGCACAAGAGAGGATAAAGCTCGAGCTTTATCCCCTCTTGCTGTGGATTATCACTTGTTTTTTATCAAATTCATGCCTTGAATACCCGCTTGAATGTACTTTACTGGCACTTCAAGCCCAACGTCTCTCCTCCTCTTTCCAGTTACTTGTGCAAAGAGTTTATTTTGGGAGTTTGCGACTGTTACGCGGGTAATCTTTTAGAGGACGGGTAGCTTGCAAACTAAACTGAACGCAGGGTTGTCGGAACAGCAACAAGAAGATTTATTCCAAAGATGAACGTAGTTTCCACTGAGTAAAACTCCACAACAGCACGTAACTCGTTAAACTTACACGGCCTCCGCCAACTTGAATAAACTTGATAAACTTGCACCGCCTCCGCCAACTTGAATAAACACTGCCTTCGTCACACTTGACTAAACACGACCAACGTCAAATTCTCTTCGCTTGTGAAAACTATTTAAAACTTAACTCGGGCTCGCCTACCTTATATTCTAGAACTTTCCAACTAGTCTAATTATAGAAAGATCACAAAATATACCGCTTTTAGAAACGGTTTCACAAGATCTTAAAATAAACAAATTATGAACACTCGCGAAGCTTCTAGAAAGTCCCACTAGTCACGCAATACAGTTTTTCGTAACAACGACCAGGAAGTTTTTCAACAAGCGTTTTCTTTATTTTTGCCGAAAACATTTGTTAAAATTGAAACAGTTCTCGTTTCTTCTACCAACAGACTCGTAGCTTTTCGAGCCCGAGTTAGCCTTTTTTAAAAAAGGTTTTAAGATGTTGTAACGTTTATAATTTATAGTCTATGAAGTGTATCGCACATTTTTCAGTGAATGCACCCCTAAGAATTTGTGAGCAATTCATAGACAAGAAGAAAACAATGGTAACTCATGGTAACATTTTTTATCAGATGCTGTTATGCATAAGTACATGCAAAGCTGAATTTATACATAACTGGGCCCGATAGAAAGAAAACAAAATGAACTTGCGGCGAACACAAAAGTCGGCCAGCTTTTTCTTTAAGGTCTTTTCTTGAGACATTACTTTGTTGACTGTAACATCCGTAACCTTTAAATTGGTGACCGTAGAGTATCATGCATAAAAACGATTTTTTTCCCTTTATATTTTTTTCATATCACTCGTTGTCTCTCAGTTACCTCGAACTCCAAATAATTTTCCCCTGCCGCGACAATGGACCCGCGACCGCGACATTGGACCCGCGACCGCGACCGCGACCCCCGACCCGCGACCCCCGACCCGCGACTATTAGTCAAACTCGTGATTATCAAGCTTATTTATGTGAAATAAACGTAAAGTAGAAATAAGAAAATTTGACTGTAATTCCTTTAGAATAACAGGTAACGCTAATTTTAAAAAGATTATGGCTCTTGAAAGAAATTAACTAGCTTTGTATCGAAATCTGTCTGGGGAAATCCAGCTATGAAAGTCAAAGTTGCAACTGAAATTTGCCGACACAAAGCCGGCGCTGAAGCTGTTGTTTTTCGACCGTTCTCGGAACGACTGTTATGAATGAACACTGAGGAACAAAATAATATACACAGCAGTTATTTTTTTAAAAAATGTATTTGAAAACCCAAATGTTTCTGTACTCAAATGAAATTCGCTTATTCCAGCGTAATGTGCCCGTTTAAACGCAACTAAAATTTTTAATCGATGCGATGAAAACTTCACAACAAATCTGTCTCGAATTTGAGCGTGTTTCTTAAACCTTTGCATGAATTTAGCATCAGCTTGACCAAAAAGTCAATAACACAATGCTAATTGATAAATTTACATTTCAAACAGACTTTCTCTTCTATAAAAAAAAAAACACAAAATATTCGCTCGATTTTCCTTCAGCCGATTCTAGCCGCAAGGAAAACAGTGATTAATTCATTCAGGGCAAATTTGTCCCTTGATCTTTTGTCTCTTTTCCTTCAAAACGACAGCTTAGTATTTTCTTCAACTTCCACTTTTCATCTGTGCATTTCATCGGTGTATTTTACCGTCAGGAGAGGAGATTTGTTGAATTTACCTAAATTTTACCTCGCTAGCTCAGTTTCTTGACGTGTACCCACGGGCAAATGGTAGTGGCTAACTGACCAATCAGAGCGCGCGATTTACTTTTGTTATGTTATAATATATGTTGGAACGCTGGTATTCTCATTTCAGCATTAATGAACTTAGTATGTGTGACAAGCGTGACAATGTCTACTTTTGCGATAATAGTAGTACATTTACGCGACAGGACGGCAGAAAGGAGAGGAAGGCGAAAGGTTTGTGTGTAAAAAGCTTGTCAGGGCTAGTACCTGCGCGTTTTTTCGTGCTCTTATTTTAAAATTACTGGGTTTGGGCTTTTACAAAAAGATTTGTTTGAAAGAAGGTGAATTTTTTGGGAAATGTTTTTCGGAAATCTATTAATGAGGGAACAAATAAGGCTGTGATCATACCTTATGGGGCCATTTCTTTGTTCTGCAGGCCATAACTGGATAACAGCACTTGACTTCGAGGCGCTTATATCAGTTATCTCTCCAACGTATGGTGCAAGGGGAGCTATAAAAATAAAATCAAAAAAAAAAAAAATCAAAAAGAAAAAGAATAGATACAGGAACAAAGCCGAGTTAACTTTTGCAAAGACTTCTGGGACTGTTACTAAGGACAGGGAAAAAATGGCCAATGGCTGACTGCCGCGTTCCATTAACGATCCCAGAAGGAAATGCAATGAAGTTACGTATAAATTAACTAATTACATAGACTGAGTTGACAAAATATAGGGTATGGTAACATGTAACAATAAGTATAAAAATAAAATCAGACATGTGAAGAAATATAACTATTTACTACAAGATTTATAACTAATAATTCATATATAATTTTATTTTCAATTTCGTTTTGAATAAGTGGAGAGAATTTGATTCTTTAATATCATTTTCTATAGAGTTATAATAAGTAGGTCCTTAGAAACTGACAGAAAATTTACGAAGGTTTGTTGTACAAAAGGGAAGGTGAAAATCGTTCGCATGTCTAGTGGCATAGCTATGGACTTGTTTGTTTAAAGAAAAATAATTGTTAAACTTTGAAGGCAAAAGAGAATGGTTAAGAGAAAACATAAGTTTACCCAATTCTTTTAGTAGCTCTAAGTCTTTGAAAATAGGGTCTGAATGAGAATCGAAAGTTGATTTAGAAATAATTCTGATAACTCGCTTTTGCAAAGAGACAAGACCGCGAAGATTGGTTTTGTACGTATATCCCCAGACAATAATACAATAATGAAGATAAGGATAAACTAAACAATAATAAAGAGTTTTTAGACAAGGTTTAGGTAGAAAAAATCTTGCTCTATTAATGACACCCATTGATTTCGAGATTTTACGAGCTACTTGAGAAATGTGCGGTTTCCAAGACAGATGTTCATCAAGGACTACACCGAGGAAGACCGTTTCCTTAACCTGTTCGATTCTCTGTTCATTTATGCATATTTGCTTTGGAAAATGATACCTTTTCTGTCTAGGCTTAAATAAGATAAAGTTTGTTTTCTTCAGGTTTACACAGCATGAAAAGGCAAATTTAAGTTAGCATAATGTGAGCGTAAAGCTGGTGTAAAGTTTGGATTTACACACCTTTACACGACCTTTACATTACGTAAAGTTAAGCTTTACGCTACATTTACACTTTTGCGTAAAGCTGGAGTAAAGAAACACCTGTAAGTGGACTAAAAGCCAGCGTAAAGCTTGAATAAACTTCACATTTACGCCACCTTTACATAGATCTAAATAAAGTGTATAGGCATCTTTAGGCCAGATTTATATGTACTGTGATGTAAAGTTAACATGCTCTTGTCTTGCAGAAAAAGCGCGACAACAGACATAATACGTATAGCTGGTATAAACTCCACATTTACGCCACCTTTACATCTAAATAAAGCGTTTAGGCATCTTAGTAAGCCAGATTTAAATGTATAACTGGTGTAAAGTTGCAACATGCTCATGTATTGGCTGGAAGGCAAAGCTCAACAACAGACATGATTACATTTTCTGCTATTTTCTTCTTTGCATAATTATTTTAAACCCTAGAGGGAAAATAAAATGAGAAAATACAACGTTGGGAAGGAAAGGAGCCAGTTAAATCAATCAATCTGCCGTATTCAATCAAATTCTGTTTTATTTGTTCAAAAATCATTTTCTTATATGTCACCATTTGTACTTAAATCAATTTTCATACTGTAGCGGAAACATTTAAAATCTTGTTCTATCATCTCTTTAAGTCTAACTGTAACAGACAAATGCAAAATTGAAAACCTTGTTACAATAATAACATCAGTTACCACTTAAAATAAAGTAAAATTGAAAACTTCATTCCTACAGCAGAAGCTTTGAATAAATTGTCTTATAATTTAATTCTTGCTTGAAATATTTAAACCTTTTTTCTAGAAATGCACAACTATATGTAAAATTGAAAACTTCATTCTTATCTTAAAGACAAGTTGAACAGAAACATTCAAAATCTTGTTCTATCATCTCTTTAAGTCTAACTGTAACAGACAAATGCAAAATTGAAAACCTTGTTACAAAATAACATCAGTTACCACTAATATTGAAAACTTCATTCCTAAAGCAGAATCTTTGAATACCTTGTCTTATAATTTAATTCTTGCTTGAAATATTGAAGGCTTTTTTCTTTAAATGCACAACTATAAGTAAAGTTGAAAACTTCGTTCTTTTTTTAAAAAACAAGTTGAACAGAAACTTTAACACATGTTCTTGTATCAATGTTTGTATCAAATGCCTTGAAACAAGTGTCAAAATAAAAAAAAATGCAATCCCAAGTGTAGTAAAAATAGAAACTGTTACCTATTTGGTAGCATCACTGCAAAAAAAGTTGTTACAAAAATATAAATAAAAAAAAAGAATGTACTTGTAAAAATATCAATAAGCTGGCGAAGCAGAATGCCTATCGGCCACATCCTTTTTTGACTTTAAAGTTTTTTTTTGTTTGGATGTCTTGGGAGTGGAGCTACAGTCAGGTAAGAGGGACGAAGTTCCAGATCTTGAAGAAAGGGTGCTGGGGGATGGCGTCACTGTTGCTGGCAGACGGACAGAACTGGTACTGGGGGATGGAGTTGTAGTTCTTGCTGGACAAGATGAAGGAGAAGGGCGGGTGGGTGGACTTCCAGTTGTTGGAGGACGGGTACGGGAAGGTGGAGTTCCAGATGAAGGAGGATGGGTGCTGTTAGGTGGAGTTCCAGTTGAAGGAGGACAGGTGCGGGTAGGTTGAGTTCCAGATGAAGGAGGATGGGTGCGTGTAGGTGGAGTTCCAGATGAAGGAGGACGGGTGCGGGTAGGTGGAGTTCCAGATGAAGGAGGACGGGTGCTGGTGGGTGGTATAACTGCTGGCGTAGGATGACTTGGAGTTCTAGTACATGTAGATGAAGATGGCCGGGTGCCAGGTGTAGGGGCTGGATTCTCAGCCCTGACTGCCCATTCTAGAGGCTCAGTGGGTCGGCGTCTTGTTGATGGCATTGGGTGCGGGCGTCTCGTCACCAGGTGTACCCTTTTGGATTCGAGGCTTCTGGAATAAGCCTCATCAAGCTCTCTCTTAGCTTTAGTTAGAGAAGTCCTCTCCCATGGAAGCCTTTTGACAAGGTATCTGCTTAACTTGCTCTGACCACTTTCATCCTCAGAAAAGTCAGACTCATCTGAGCTTGTGTACGCTAGGTTCCCTACAGCTTCTTCAACCTGTGCCTTTTTCTCATTTGACCAGGGCATGGTCTTCAGTGTTACCAGCCTCTTCTGAGTTTTCTAGGAAAGTAAAAATAGCACAAGGTTAACAAGTGCAGCCCCAATTGTTTCCTTTCAAAAGATGCTTGTATCTGTAACATGACGATACGGTTAGAAACCTGAGTAAAATAACTTACTGGTTTAAGAACCTACTGGCAGAAAAATTGCAATTTTATAAAATATATGAACCTGTTTAGCCAGGAAAGGTCAGGCAGGTTCTCATAAGTGGCTTACAGTTAAATTTATTTATGATAAAGTTTGGTTGTAAGATTGCAGTGTTAGAAATTACCCGGTGAGTTTGTTTATTTATTTTCTGATAGTCAACAACAAATTTCTTCATAAAAATTAAGAACTTTCAATTACTATCCCTAAATGCAAGAATCGATTTTGTTGGACTTAACAAATAAAGGTTCTTACACGCAAGTTTTGTGTGTACATGTATTTACATATATTCTTGTAAACAGTAATGCTACTGGATGTTGTTTATGCTTAGCAACCAAAAGGAAAAACTAATCATGGTAATTTTTAGTACTTTATAAATGTGTTATTGTGTGAAATTCTCGCCCCGGTACAAGAACCGGGGTGAACTCATGCTGGGGTGACTCGCGCCTGCATGACATTTTGTGGTGGTATCATGTAAACAAATATAGAGCTATGAGAGGGAACCGGAGTGAACTTGCCCCGGGGCAAAAGTTGGCCCGGTGTCGTGTAAACATCCCCTAAGTTGCCAGAGGACACCGCCTGCTATTACTAATTAATAACATTTTTTCCTGCACTTATGGCCAAATTACTACAATCAGCACAATTTTACTTGACACAGGGTTCCCCACATGCCTCTTTTCACAAACCACGACTAAAAATTTGAAAAAAAACGATAAGGCATTTTCCACAAGGGGTCTAATAACAGTGCAAAACCTGAGCAGCAAATGATTTCAATGTCCACAAATTCACACAACTGAATAAGATTCATCTGACCGTTAAAGATTCAAAATGTTTGACTAGTATGAGTTAAAGGCTTTCCTTAAAGGCAATAATATTTACATTTAGAACCCTACTTGCAGTTGAGTGAAAATCAGGGTAAAATGCTACATGGAAACCCTATAATAATAATAATAATCATAATCATAATAATAATAATAGTAATGAACTTTATTAAAGTCTCGTGTCTTATAACACAGGCACAGTGCCTTACTAATTGGGGAGACTGAAGCATATATATATGTTAAATTTATTAACAATGGTTTATTATATTATTAGAGTTCAATGTTTTACAATGTATATCTTTTTTTATTTTAATGTATGCATTTTTATAAAAGTGTCATCCATTAATATTGTTGTAAAGTGCTATGAAAAACCACTGGATGTACATTATTATTATTATTAGAGAGTAAGCAGTGCGCAAAGAAAGTAGTGTCCGATAGCCCGGGGCTAGTGGATTTTGCTATCGAGCCCCCCAAAGTCCTTACATGATTTTACACTATCATCTTCATCGTCATGGTCTCGTTGCTTGCTTAGTATTGAAAGGTTATGCCAAATAAATACACATGTTTAGTTATAATTTACTTTAAACGGTTAATGCCGGTTTCATTGCTCACTGAAATGTTAGTTACTGAGTACTTGAGGCAGTCATTCGAACTCATCATAAACAAGTTGGAATTAAGCTTAAAAAGTTAGAGAAAAGGCGAGCCAGGGCAACTTACCTTGCCTTACTATCTGCTCTTTTCAGCGAGATCTTGAGTATCGAAGAGCCTTAGTAATACGTGTAATACAGTCTTGGTCTGTGTTGTGAACATTCCAGTGTTAATGCTTGCGCTTCACACGATGTTTCTGTCTCCATTTCTGACTGAGTATCTCGTCCCGAAAGGGTTGCTGCGCACTTGAGAAGTGATCGATTACTAAAGGCTGATAGTGCCATTATAAATTGTAACAACCTTAAGATGTCCTGTGATGCTATCAAGAAGCATAATATATGAACGATCTCCAAACTTTCAAAGAAGCAAGTTTGAAACCGTTGCACGCTTTCAAAATGGACGCCAAATCAACGAACCCTGATTGAGCATGTGCAAAGGAACAAGCCCGCTGACCAGGTGTCCCTTCACTCTATTGTTTCCAGGCCCCTTTCTTTTAACAAATTGTCCGTTCCCAAAACTGAAGTCCGCGGACTTAAAATAAGGAAGCGATAAAGGAGATTCAACAATGAAGCCAGTACTCCGTTGAATGTAAAATAGTCAGAGTAATTTGTGAATGCGTTCTTTCTCTTTAAGTAATGCGTTCTTTTTTTAAAACTCGCCGTTTTTGCGAGACGATATCTTTTCTTTATTTTCCAATTATTTCAATTTGATCAAAGTACAGTTGAAACTCTCTACAACGGCCATCTTAGGGACATCGAAGAAAGTGGCCATAGTAAAGAGGTTGAAAGAAGAGTGAATGTATGCCATGTATCGACCGTCCGCCGAAAAAAAAAAACAACAAAACAAAAATGGCCCGTGTAGAGAGGTGACCGTTAAGGAAGAAACTGACTGAAATCAATGAGGCAATACTACTGAGTATTGAACGCTATTGTGTTCGCCGCGACAGATACACCGTTTTTCGAAAATTGCCGCACAGTCGCAAGCTATATCTTTGCATGAACTCTGCCAGCAGAATTTTCTTTTCAGCGTCATTTTTAAGCGTGTACGAAGTCGTTCGCACCACCAAAAAAAAATTTGCGTGGTTGGCTTGTTTACATCGCACACCAACATCGAACACCAAATGAGTGATCAAAAAAACTATGCGAACTAGTATCAGGACACAAACGACTTACTAAAAACAGTGCCGGGAATAAATTCCTGTTAGGAAGCTAGCATTATATGACAACCTTACTAAACCTTTACTTGTAGCGTAAATGAGCGTAAAGCTGTTACAACAACTTTATGCTAGCTTTACGCAACCTTTAAGAGCCGAGCGCGTAAATTTACCTTCACAAACCTTTACGCGGGGTGGAAAGTTTGCGTAAAAATGGATGACCAACTTTACGCAGGTTTACGCAAACTTTAATTTTGCGAAAATCTCCATTTTCATGCTGTGTTAAGGAGAGTTTGTTTGCCTTAAACCAAGTGGATAATTTATTAAGTTCGGAATTGAGTGAGGCTGCCAGGTAGACAGGATCTTTATGGGACATAAATAAATTAGTATCATCAGCGAATAAAATCAGCTCAACGAGCGTCGATACGTTATTTAAATCATTAATATAGAGCAAGAAAAACAAGGGGCCCAAAATGGGTCCCTGGGGGACACCACAGCAGAAAGTTTGAGGAGAGGAGCATTGACCGTTAAATTGAACGAATTGCAACCTGTTGGAGAGGTAGCTTCTAACCCAGTCCAGAGCAACGCCACGTATACCATAGTGTTCGAGTTTGTCAAGCAGAATATTATGATTGAAGGTATCAAAGGCCTTAGAAAGATCAAGGGAAACGCCAACGGCATGTTCATTGCGATCAAAAGCAAGGGAGATTTTTTCATATGGGTCAATCAATGCCAACGAAGTTGAATGATTTTTCCTGAAGCCAAATTCATTATCACATAGAATTTCAAGTTTACTTAAATAATTATAAAGACGGTTATAAACAACCTTTTCAAGAAACTTAGAAAAGCTAGGGAGAATCGAGATCGGTCTATAGTTCGTAAAGAGTGATCGATCACCGGCTTTAAAGAGTGGTATCACGCGAGCAATTTTCATTTGGTCGGGAACAATGCCATAAATTGATTATATGAGCTAAAGGATCGGCTATAATTTGAATTGACTGCTTTATGATGGAAATGGGAATTCTATCATGACCAGCTGCCTTACCTGGTCGAAAAGCATTGGAAATTTCCGATAGCTCATTTGGAGTCACTGGATCAAAAAACACCGATTGACAAAAGTGACCAGAGAGAAAACTGCGGTGAGAGACAGACGAGTGAATTTCTTTGGCTAGATTAGATCCGATACTAGAAAAATAACTACAGAATCTATTAGCGATGTCTAATGGATCCTTAATTTCTTGGTTGTCAACTTGAAAGATGGAATTGATTTTAAACGCTTTCTTTTTTGTCTTAATAATTTCGTTTAGAGCTCTCCATGTAGCTTTGGCATTTGATTTAGAAGTATCGATTTTCTTTTCGTAATATATACGTTTAGCAATTCTTAATGAGTGATTCAATTTGTTTTTGTAATTTTTTTATAACGAGTTTCATAATGCGAAGATTGATTAGTGAGATACTGTCTATATAACTTATTTTTCATTCTTATCGACTTCAGGAGTCCTTTCGATAACCAAGGCTTACTCAACGGTAATTGCTCACATTAATTTTTTCTAAAGGAAAACATGACTCATATGCCGTAGAGTATTGTTTGAAAAAGCTGTTATAGGCATTATTTGGATCATCAAGAGTGGCATACTGAGCCCAGTCAATTCTCTCCAAATACGATAGAAACTTAGTTGTGTTGACTTGATTTACATCTCGAACAAAAACAGTTTCACTACATGGTGAGATTGAGGTGTCGAAATGAATAGAAAATATAGGCAGATGGTCAGAAATGTCAGTGAAAAACAGTCCACTCCTAGATCTATCGGAAAATTGGTTGACGAAAATGTTGTCAATTAAAGTTGCCGAATGACAAGTTATTCTTGTAGGGTGCGTAATCAATGGAAAGAACATATTTGAATATAGCGCATCTAAAAATTCACCAGTAACGGAAGGACTTCGGTGGTTCAATAGAGTTAAGTTAAAGTCACCCATTAAATAACATACCCTACTTTAATTTTTTTAATCTAAAATATTAATTCGTAACTTTGTATATTACTGAAGATTTTAATGTGTTTAAATAAAGTTGTATGTATGTTTATGTATACAACTATTTCAATTAACGTGGCTCGTCTGGATTTCTCAGGGTGGGATACCTCCCAAGTTTGAGCATTAACTACGTCGGCATGAGAAAGATATGGAAAAAAAAAAATTACCACAACTGTATTATATAAAACTAAAAATTTCTGTGATTGGGATTTTATTGCAATCGGAATCGCCATGGCAACGTAATGACGCCATTACATTTTTTATTTATCTTTGTATTTCTCTGTACCAGGCGTTTTTAACAAATCGCTTAAGGGAGTATGTACCTGCCATAATTGCCTCAATTATGGCAAAGTTTGAACAAATTCTACGAGAGCGTTTTCAAAATATTTTGAAACGAAGTTTTAAGGTGGCTCCGTAATTAACCCAAGAGCATTTAGCTGTGACAAATTTTCCGTCATAACTTTTTCGATTTTAACGCCATGGCTGCGAAACTTTGCAATTAACAACAGATATCATTCGGCAATAATACGAAATATTCCGATTTCATTGATGGTAAATATTTCTTGAGAAATTAGCGCTTAAAAGGACCCTACTGTTCAAAGAAAATCGCGTCTAGTAAAAAATTTTGCTGATATTTTTTACTGAAATTTCTGGTATCGGCTTTAAAGGATATAATAAATATGCCAGAGGAATTTCAGAAAAATCGTTGGAGCAGAAGTCCGTAACTAAAAGTCGGTCAAAATTCAGCTGTGAAATTGTTTTGGAATTTCAAAAATAAATTACTATCAGAAAGAAGGAGCCACCAGTTTGAATTTTCGGGACAAGTAAATTCAACGCTTGCTAATTCTTAAAACAAAAGCCGATTGCCTATCGTGCTATTCTTTGAAAGGTACTTTTTAGTTTTAGAAGAACTATAAATTGCTCCAAACCTTGCTCTGAAGTAGAATGACTTGTTCGTCGACAGTTTTAAAATATCCCTTGGCAGTTTTGGCTCAAACTCCTGCTGCATACATTTTGATGTATTGCCATGCATTTTCAACGATTTTTACTGCCGTTCGTTGCTTCCAACTCGGGAAAAAAGTATTGAGATTGGACGCTACCTCGTATCAGAGCTCAGAAAGAACTGTCCAGCACCTTTGTTTATGACTACAAAATGAGCACGAGCGGCAGCTCTGCGAGGAATTCGCACCTCAACCAGGGGGGACGAGTGACAATGATGCCCTTGCAGAGCAAAACATAATAATCAAGAAAAAAATACCCATTCATTGAAGGAAGGAGTGACAAAAATTTCGGAGTTGTAAATTTATTAACGGGCAGTATTTTTGCGATAATTTTATTTTGCACTGTGATGTTATTTGGATCACAAGCATGGTCATCATTGTCGTTCGTCCCCCCCTGGGTGAGGTGCGAATTCCACGCAGAACTGCCGCTCGTGCTCATTTTGTAGTCATAAACAAAGGTGCTGGACAGTTCTTTCTGAGCTCTGATACGAGGTAGCGTCCAATCTCAATACTTTTTTCCCGAGTTGGAAGCAACGAACGGCAGTAAAAATCGTTGAAAATGCATGGCAATACATCAAAATGTATGCAGCAGGAGTTTGAGCCAAAACTGCCAAGGGATATTTTAAAACTGTCGACGAACAAGTCATTCTACTTCAGAGCAAGGTTTGGAGCAATTTATAGTTCTTCTAAAACTAAAAAGTACCTTTCAAAGAATAGCACGATAGGCAATCGGCTTTTGTTTTAAGAATTAGCAAGCGTTGAATTTACTTGTCCCGAAAATTCAAACTGGTGGCTCCTTCTTTCTGATAGTAATTTATTTTTGAAATTCCAAAACAATTTCACAGCTGAATTTTGACCGACTTTTAGTTACGGACTTCTGCTCCAACGATTTTTCTGAAATTCCTCTGGCATATTTATTATATCCTTTAAAGCCGATACCAGAAATTTCAGTAAAAAATATCAGCAAAATTTTTTACTAGACGCGATTTTCTTTGAACAGTAGGGTCCTTTTAAGCACTAATTTCTCAAGAAATATTTACCATCAGTGAAATCGGAATATTTTGTGTTATTACCGATTGATATCTGTTGTTCTGTGCCAAGTTTCGCAGCCATCGCGTTAAAAACCAAAAAGTTATGACGGAAAATTTGTCACAGTTAAATGCTCTTGTATTAATTACGGAGCCACCTTAAGCATCATAAAAACAGTGAAATAGCATGTTACTCACACAATTAGCTATTTTTTTAAGAAAATGATAGGCTTTGGAAACGCGGCTTCATCTCATAGTGTTTTGATTCCATTGAAAACTGCATACAAAAAAAGAGGGGAATTGCTCTGGGCGATCGCAAGTAAGAAGAATTTTATTGACTTGCATTCAGCTGTTTTTGTTACAGTTTTTGCAGGTAATTTGGTCCATGCCTACAAATTTCGCATTTTTCAAAAAAAACGCGCAATAATTTTTTTCATAAATTTCATAGCCCCGCGATAAATCGGCAATAAATATACCCTGCAAGTTTCAAGAACATTGAAAACAGAGAAGGCGTTTAAATAGGGCCTCAAACATAACCAATTTTTAACCAGATTTTGTGTTTACAGGTGAGCGTCCTCGTTATTCACTGGCATTGTTTTCAAGTTTCATATGCACGTGCACATTTAGCAAAAAGATACAATTTGCATCAAAAAGGACCCTCGGTTAAATCTCCGGAATATGCTAATAACCGCGTAAATGAAATTAGTGATATGTTATAAGATCACATTAACTCTTTTTAAGAGTTTTTGTGACGTTATAACCCGAGTAAGATCATTAAGTATTGCATCCTACGCCATGAGCCGCGACGTTCAGTTTCGGCTCTCACTGCTATCTGTGACACAAGCCAATTGTTAGAATATTTCGAATATTTCTTCGGAAAGTAATCGAGAGTTTTTTAAGCAAATTTATTTCTTTTTGCTAAATGTGCACGCGCATATGAAACTTGAAAACAATGCCAGTGAATAATGAGGACGACGTAATGGCGTCGGTACGTTGTCATGGCGACTCCGTTTGCAATAAATACAGACCATAAGAAAGTTTTCATCTTTATATAAATTCAGCTGTGGTAACCTTTTTCCCATATATCTTTACTCATGCCGACGTAGTTAATGCTCAAACTTGGGAGGTATTCCCCCAAAAAATCCAGTCGAGCCACCTTAAGGTTGCTCCCGCGAACTATGTTTCATAGCCTACAGTGCACTATGGTAAACCCTTTTGTAGCGGGAAGTTTCAGTCTTGTTCACTTTCCTTGAAATAATGGAGACCATTTGTAAGAAGGCGTTCAAGAGAGCTTTCAAGTCAAATAGCTGCTAAAATTCTTAAGAGTGAGCGAGCTTAAGAATTTCATTTTCAAAATCTCATAGTAAGAAATTAGAAGCCTCCTCTTTAACAGCACTAAATGAATAGTGTTTTATCGCTTGATTAAGCTACGTTTTTGCATTGGTCAGAATGCTGGGTATTTCAATAAAGCAAATCAACACTATTCTTTTTTATTCAGTTTCCAAAAAATTGCCTCAAAAATAGATGAACGCGTAATGTTAAGGTATTTATTGTAGTTCAACAAACGCCTTGAATTTTGTTTTAACTCCGTCCAAAATTCCAACTCATTGAAAATTTGCACCATTGGCATATTACCACAAAGAAAAACCTTCATCAAAATACACAGATTTAGTTTTAAATGTTAGTTACCTGGAGCTGCTTTTGCTTACCGAACATTTTCGTGGTTGCGTCAACAGCAGTGGGTTGGCCTTCCACAAAGACGGATTCACCACTAACTTTAAACTTATACAGAGTAACAGGTACCAAATTCTCCATATGGGAAAAAGATTACCACAACTGTATTATATAAAATTGAAAATTTCTTTGATCGGGATTTTATTGCAATCGGAGTCGCCATGGCAACGTAATGACGCCATTACATTTTTTATTTATCTTTGTATTTCTCTGTACCAGGCGTTTTTAACAAATCGCTTAAGGGAGTATGTACCTGCCATAATTGCCTCAATTATGGCAAAGTTTGAACAAATTCTACGAGAGCGTTTTCAAAATATTTTGAAACGAAGTTTTAAGGTGGCTCCGTAATTAACCCAAGAGCATTTAGCTGTGACAAATTTTCCGTCATAACTTTTTCGATTTTAACGCAATGGCTGCGAAACTTTGCAATTAACAACAGATATCATTCGGCAATAATACGAAATATTCCGATTTCATTGATGGTAAATATTTCTTGAGAAATTAGCGCTTAAAAGGACCCTACTGTTCAAAGAAAATCGCGTCTAGTAAAAAATTTTGCTGATATTTTTTACTGAAATTTCTGGTATCGGCTTTAATTGATATAATAAATATGCCAGAGGAATTTCAGAAAAATCGTTGGAGCAGAAGTCCGTAACTAAAAGTCGGTCAAAATTCAGCTGTGAAATTGTTTTGGAATTTCAAAAATAAATTACTATCAGAAAGAAGGAGCCACCAGTTTGAATTTTCGGGACAAGTAAATTCAACGCTTGCTAATTCTTAAAACAAAAGCCGATTGCCTATCGTGCTATTCTTTGAAAGGTACTTTTTAGTTTTAGAAGAACTATAAATTGCTCCAAACCTTGCTCTGAAGTAGAATGACTTGTTCGTCGACAGTTTTAAAATATCCCTTGGCAGTTTTGGCTCAAACTCCTGCTGCATACATTTTGATGTATTGCCATGCATTTTCAACGATTTTTACTGCCGTTCGTTGCTTCCAACTCGGGAAAAAAGTATTGAGATTGGACGCTACCTCGTATCAGAGCTCAGAAAGAACTGTCCAGCACCTTTGTTTATGACTACAAAATGAGCACGAGCGGCAGTTCTGCGTGGAATTCGCACCTCACCCAGGGGGGACGAACGACAATGATGACCATGCTTGTGATCCAAATAACATCACAGTGCAAAATAAAATTATCGCAAAAATACTGCCCGTTAATAAATTTACAACTCCGAAATTTTTGTCACTCCTTCCTTCAATGAATGGGTATTTTTTTCTTGATTATTATGTTTTACTCTGCAAGGGCATCATTGTCACTCGTCCCCCCTGGTTGAGGTGCGAATTCCTCGCAGAGCTGCCGCTCGTGCTCATTTTGTAGTCATAAACAAAGGTGCTGGACAGTTCTTTCTGAGCTCTGATACGAGGTAGCGTCCAATCTCAATACTTTTTTCCCGAGTTGGAAGCAACGAACGGCAGTAAAAATCGTTGAAAATGCATGGCAATACATCAAAATGTATGCAGCAGGAGTTTGAGCCAAAACTGCCAAGGGATATTTTAAAACTGTCGACGAACAAGTCATTCTACTTCAGAGCAAGGTTTGGAGCAATTTATAGTTCTTCTAAAACTAAAAAGTACCTTTCAAAGAATAGCACGATAGGCAATCGGCTTTTGTTTTAAGAATTAGCAAGCGTTGAATTTACTTGTCCCGAAAATTCAAACTGGTGGCTCCTTCTTTCTGATAGTAATTTATTTTTGAAATTCCAAAACAATTTCACAGCTGAATTTTGACCGACTTTTAGTTACGGACTTCTGCTCCAACGATTTTTCTGAAATTCCTCTGGCTTATTTATTATATCAATTAAAGCCGATACCAGAAATTTCAGTAAAAAATATCAGCAAAATTTTTTACTAGACGCGATTTTCTTTGAACAGTAGGGTCCTTTTAAGCACTAATTTCTCAAGAAATATTTACCATCAGTGAAATCGGAATATTTTGTGTTATTACCGATTGATATCTGTTGTTCTGTGCCAAGTTTCGCAGCCATCGCGTTAAAAACCAAAAAGTTATGACGGAAAATTTGTCACAGTTAAATGCTCTTGTATTAATTACGGAGCCACCTTAAGCATCATAAAAACAGTGAAATAGCATGTTACTCACACAATTAGCTATTTTTTTAAGAAAATGATAGGCTTTGGAAACGCGGCTTCATCTCATAGTGTTTTGATTCCATTGAAAACTGCATACAAAAAAAGAGGGGAATTGCTCTGGGCGATCGCAAGTAAGAAGAATTTTATTGACTTGCATTCAGCTGTTTTTGTTACAGTTTTTGCAGGTAATTTGGTCCATGCCTACAAATTTCGCATTTTTCAAAAAAAACGCGCAATAATTTTTTCATAAATTTCATAGCCCCGCGATAAATCGGCAATAAATATACCCTGCAAGTTTCAAGAACATTGAAAACAGAGAAGGCGTTTAAATAGGGCCTCAAACATAACCAATTTTTAACCAGATTTTGTGTTTACAGGTGAGCGTCCTCGTTATTCACTGGCATTGTTTTCAAGTTTCATATGCACGTGCACATTTAGCAAAAAGATACAATTTGCATCAAAAAGGACCCTCGGTTAAATCTCCGGAATATGCTAATAACCGCGTAAATGAAATTAGTGATATGTTATAAGATCACATTAACTCTTTTTAAGAGTTTTTGTGACGTTATAACCCGAGTAAGATCATTAAGTATTGCATCCTACGCCATGAGCCGCGACGTTCAGTTTCGGCTCTCACTGCTATCTGTGACACAAGCCAATTGTTAGAATATTTCGAATATTTCTTCGGAAAGTAATCGAGAGTTTTTTAAGCAAATTTATTTCTTTTTGCTAAATGTGCACGCGCATATGAAACTTGAAAACAATGCCAGTGAATAATGAGGACGACGTAATGGCGTCGGTACGTTGTCATGGCGACTCCGTTTGCAATAAATACAGACCATAAGAAAGTTTTCATCTTTATATAAATTCAGCTGTGGTAACCTTTTTCCCATATATCTTTACTCATGCCGACGTAGTTAATGCTCAAACTTGGGAGGTATTCCCCCAAAAAATCCAGTCGAGCCACCTTAAGGTTGCTCCCGCGAACTATGTTTCATAGCCTACAGTGCACTATGGTAAACCCTTTTGTAGCGGGAAGTTTCAGTCTTGTTCACTTTCCTTGAAATAATGGAGACCATTTGTAAGAAGGCGTTCAAGAGAGCTTTCAAGTCAAATAGCTGCTAAAATTCTTAAGAGTGAGCGAGCTTAAGAATTTCATTTTCAAAATCTCATAGTAAGAAATTAGAAGCCTCCTCTTTAACAGCACTAAATGAATAGTGTTTTATCGCTTGATTAAGCTACGTTTTTGCATTGGTCAGAATGCTGGGTATTTCAATAAAGCAAATCAACACTATTCTTTTTTATTCAGTTTCCAAAAAATTGCCTCAAAAATAGATGAACGCGTAATGTTAAGGTATTTATTGTAGTTCAACAAACGCCTTGAATTTTGTTTTAACTCCGTCCAAAATTCCAACTCATTGAAAATTTGCACCATTGGCATATTACCACAAAGAAAAACCTTCATCAAAATACACAGATTTAGTTTTAAATGTTAGTTACCTGGAGCTGCTTTTGCTTACCGAACATTTTCGTGGTTGCGTCAACAGCAGTGGGTTGGCCTTCCACAAAGACGGATTCACCACTAACTTTAAACTTATACAGAGTAACAGGTACCAAATTCTCCATATGGGAAAAAGATTACCACAACTGTATTATATAAAATTGAAAATTTCTTTGATCGGGATTTTATTGCAATCGGAGTCGCCATGGCAACGTAATGACGCCATTACATTTTTTATTTATCTTTGTGTTTCTCTGTACCAGGCGTTTTTTTTTTTTTTTTTTTTTTTTTTTTTTTTTTTTGTTTTTTTTTTTAACAAATCGCTTAAGGGGGTATGTACCTGCCATAATTGCCTCAATTATGGCAAAGTTTGAACAAATTCTACGAGAGCGTTTTCAAAATATTTTGAAACGAAGTTTTAAGCATCATAAAAACAGTGAAATAGCATGTTACCCACACAATTAGCTCATTTTTTTAAGAAAATGATAAGCTTTGGAAACGCGGCTTCATCTCATAGTGTTTTGATTCCATTGAAAACTGCATACAAAAAAATGTTAGTTACCTGGAGCTGATTTTGCTTACCGGACATTTTCGTGGTTGCGTCAACAGCAGTGGGTTGGCCTTCCACACAGACGGATTCACCACTAACTTTAAACTTATACAGAGTACCAGGTAAGTTTGAACAAATTCTACGAGAGCGTTTTCAAAATATTTTGAAACGAAGTTTTAAGAGCGTGTCTCCGTAAAAACCGACCAGTGATTTTGGATCAAAAAATTAATTTCCCTTATATTCTGGGATATTAAAGCCTTCAACTTAGTAGTTACAAAAATACATTTCGTTTGACCGAAAGTGATAAATATATTTTTTTACCAATTTTTGAATTTCCGGACGATTAGCGCTGGCGTCATAGCCTTTCAAACTGCAAAAATCGCTAATATTGACCGCGCTCTAGAAAACGAACAAGTCGCTCAAAAAGCCGGATTTTCTTTTCCGTATACAGATACACCACTGTAGATTTCCTAGCCATATCACAGTTCCGAATTATTTGTTTATTTCAACGGCAATGATTTTTTCCCTAGCACGTGTTTTCGGCTTTCCATCAAAACACGAAAGTAGCTCAACTTTGAGGGTAATTTTAAAAAGTGTGGCACCTGTCTGAACTTCGCTATCTGTATGAATACAATCTAGGAATGATAGTAAAACAAAAAGGAATAACATTTTTGTGCTCTCCACGTTTTCAGAAGAGACCGCCGTTTGAATTTCCAGAAATTTCGTAAACTTGATAATTAACGAACACTCGCCTTGTCGATCTGCTTGTCAAGGTCCAACTTCATTTGATGGCGTGATATATCTTATCCAAGTTCTTTCACATTTTAATGTTATTTCTCAATCATCTGAAACTATATTGGCCGTTGATTCCATGTCCTTTGTCCGTTTAAAGAAGTTATCTAGTTTATAAAATGGCAGCCATCCGCGAGCGTGACTGGTTCGTGACACCGTCCTGAAAGGTCTTTTGCTAAAATTAGTTGGGTGCAATCTTGTTCATTGAGATTATACTCTTCAAGACATCGCAGTGAAATTTGTAGGTTGCGTCAACAGCAGTGGGTTGGCCTTCCACACAGCCGGATTCACCACTAACTTTAAACTTATACAGAGTAACAGGTACCAAATTCTCCATGTGGGAAAAAGATTACCACAACTGTATTATATAAAATTGAAAATTTCTTTGATCGGGATTTTATTCTGCATACAAAAAAATGTTGGTTACCTGGAGCTGATTTTGCTTACCGGACATTTTCGTGGTTGCGTCAACAGCAGTGGGTTGGCCTTCCACACAGACGGATTCACCACTAACTTTAAACTTATACAGAGTACCAGGTACCAAATTCTCCAGCAAGTAATTTGTCGCCTCTTGTGCGTCTTGTTCACCAATATCGAAAAACGATGTGTTGTAATCCTTTGTCCCCGTGTATTTAACCTTAATTTAAAAAAAAAAAAAAACCTTAACATTAAGCGGAGGCAGCGTGGCCGAGCGGTTAGAGCGCTGGACTAGGAGGAGGCCCCGAGTTCATGTCCCGCTTGGACCGCTGGCTGCATTTGTTCTCGGTAGTCCCAAATTCAAATCCTCGGCCACGCTGGAAAGAACTGGAAATGGAGGTGGAAGGAACCTGGAAATTGCGCAAAGTAACTGTAGTGCCGGTCGTTATTGGTACATTTTGTACAATAGTGGTTAGTTGAGATTGGCGTCGCCAGTCCTCTAAAACCATTACAGCGAGCGTGCCCACTGGGAACGGCCAGAAACCTTCGCAAATTCTTAGACACCTGGGACCCGTTCGAGAGGCCTGGAAATTTTTCAAACGTTGTTGAACATTAGCACAGTTCTTAGCTCACAAACCAGTCAATTTTGCCTCGTTAACTAATAGTTTTTATTCATCATTTTCAGAATTATTGGAACCTTGATCTTGAATGTAAACACTTCAAATAGGGGACTTTAGGGAAACAGGTCCTTTGGGCCACAGCCGGTGGAATGATGTCCGCAAAGGAGGACTGGGACAAACCATCCATTGATAATGATAATAATGCTAATAATAATAATAATAATGCTAATAATAATAATAATAATAATAAAAACCAATCTTTATTTAAGTATCAGAACATTAAGTAAGATTTACAATTTTAAATTATATCGTATTTTTACTGCACTCTCTCGAACGTTTAGAGCTTAAATTTGGCTTAAGTCTAGAGTTTTTCGACAAAGTACTTGTTAGAATTCTTCTTGATGAGCTCTTTCGTGTGTCCAGGTTTTCTAAAGCGTCTTTTTGTGCCCTGACATCTTCATTCATGACATTTTAAAACTTCGTCGCCATCTTGACACTGAGACGTACGGAGGGTTGCCATGGCAATTTTGTAATTTCACATTTGAAATTACAAATTAACGCTGAAATTTCGCGCCAAAATTAAGGAGTAATTCGTCAGCTATGATATTAAAAACAAAATATATGTCTACAATAGAAAACTATTTACAATTGTGAATAATTTAAAGTGGGAAAAGGAAAATCAAGCATTACTAAGAAAAAAACTATCAAAAATTAATAATAATAATAATATTAATAATAATAATAATAATAACAATAATAATAATGGTAATGGTAATGATAATCAGCAAAGGTGGACTGCAGCAAACCATCCAGTTGAGTGTAATGAAGATAACAATAATGATACTGATAATAAACAGAAATGTAATCAGGCTCTAAGGATATTTTGCGATTATAAAGTTAATAGAAATCGTCAGCTATATTGCCTAATTAGTCAGGTCTCTTAAGGTCAGGATCGTTACAGAGTTGACAAAAGCACCAAACTTTGCACAGCGATAGCTTATTGCAGTACCATGAATATTAGAGGGGGTGCCCAATGCAAATATGCCACTGAAGCGTGCTTAACAGGATTTAATTATTGTAAATTTCACCTGCTGGGGTCCCTGTGGTGTTTTGATTGAAAATTGTTATTTAATACCTTAAATCACTCAGAATGCTCTTCTCATGTTGTGAACAACAATTTCACTCGAACATATGGCATTACCATCCATTATTAGCTTGTTGATTGTATAATTAAGTTGATTGTTACTGTGCCCTTGAAGCAAGTCCACAGTCCGCCCACATTCTCATAAGTCATTTGTAAGATGGCCTCGTCTTTGCCTCAAAACTTGCAAGTAGTCAGCTTCTGGGGTTCTATTCTCCTTTTCTAATGTACTTCAATTAGAGGAGGCCTTATTGTGTGGCTTAAGCCTTATTTATCAAGTATTACTTGTCATTACACGTTACTTTAAGCTAAAGAAAGCGTATGGCATAGCGATTCACACACAAAATTTCAGAAAAAAAGAAATTGTCAAAGAGTCTGTTGTATCACATATTATCAGGGATTTATGACAGCTGTTCATGAAGAGCACATAACGAAATGACAGAACCCCAAATAATTCTTTCCTAGGGAGGTAATTAATTTTTCAGCTTAACATAGGCCTGGATACCTTTCAGTCTCTCTTTATCTGCTGGATGCACGTGCATGTTTTGACAGAGAAGCAAGCACCGTGGCACAAGTCATATCATTTACAATTCCCGAAGTTTGTCTAAGCTTTACAAAGCAAAAACAAACAAAAAAGAATCTGGTCTCATAAACGGAAAAAAGAAACAAGTTAGCCCAAGCTTCAAAAAACAGCACACTTTATCATGAAGCCTCTGCATTTGGCACTGAAGCACTCATGTCCAAAAATAATAACAGCTTATCAAGTCGTAAAAGTGAGACTCAAGTGGTACAAGATTGACTCAAATGATAAATGGTAAATGGTTTAACTGCTGAAACTGTGGAAAGGGAGCCGGGCTAACTTTTAGGGCCTGTTTACATGGAGGAGAGGGTAACCCACTTAGTTGGGGTAACCCACCTGTCCATACAATCCCTCATTTTAATTTGATCACGTTTACATGATAGGTGGGGTGAACCTTCAAGGTGGGTAGCCCGGTCTGCCACACCAGGTAACCCTCTCAGCTGAGGTCAAATTTGCCATGTCAACGTTTCAAGGTGAGGTAACCCAGGCTAGTCGGGGTCGGATTCGTGATACATCAAATTCGCGCAAAATTCACTTTGGCGCCGGGTGGCATAATTATTAAAGGCAACAATAGAAAGCCACAACACTGAAGGTTGCAGCAAGAGCAGCAAGTGAGCGTAGACGTGGTTTGCTAGCATTTTTCTTGTTTACGTGCTTAGCGACCATTTAATAATCTTGAGAAACTGCACCCCAGGATGGCGGGGTTGTAAGATTACATGTAAAGGAGGGTTATTTTTTTACCCCACCTAAGCAGGTTATCTCACCTACCTGGGGTCCCTCACCTTTATGTTAACAGGCCCTAAGTCTCAGGAACTGTGAAAGTGGTAATAAACGGTATATCTAACCCGGGACTAGCTGTGATACTACTTCCATTTTCAAAAACGTCAGCATAGCAGCCAAAGGAGCCATTATATCGGTTTAACACGAATATTAGATTGCGGTTGTTTTATGCATCTCCTTTTGTGACTTTTTTGTGTTCGTTTTTGTCACCATCTCTAAATTTCAATCATGTTCAAAACACCTCTATTAACAAAATATTTCGTAAAGCTCTTGAAAATGATATTCAGCAATAAAAGCAAGGTGTGACCAGGAGCCGATTTCTAGGCTCCTGGTGTGGCAACATAGGCATAAGTGAATGCAAAGTTTTGCTTATTTAATCTGTCAGAAATCTGTTTGAGTGGTCAAAGTTGGAGCTGATGGGCTTCTTGTTCATGACCACTCCATCATTATAAGGGACCAGGCCATAATTATTGTTCACCCTTGCTTTTTTTGGTATTTTCTTTTATTTTCCACAGCATTATTTTGTGAAAGGTTGGTGACTGAATTGCTCTTGAGGAATTCATGATCGTAAGATTTCGTAACCACAAGGTATTCGCCTAATTGCATCAAACAAATTACGTTCATTTTCATAAATGATGCATCATTGGTTGGCTAAAAGAGGCCTTGTTTCTGTAAATTTCAGCTCTTCTGAAGTTAGTTTGTTTGTAAATTGTAACGCACGACCTTCCTTTTTTCGAAAGATCGTATAGACCTATCTTTAACACTCTGGTGCAAGGACTCTGAACTGAATGAGCCGCTTACAGGTGTCTAGGCATGCAGGGACCTCATACACTTCTTTTTAAATGCAAATGTGTAAAAAATAAAGAGTGTCAAAAATTCCTGGAGAGGTATGTTTTACAACCTCGTCCCCAAGGCTTAAAGGTCAAATGAACCAAAAAATTTGACATATTTTTTTTTGTCGCTTTACCTTCACCAAACACTAAAAAGAACCATCCTAGGTGAGATTTGGGTAAAGATTTTTCTTCCCCAGCCTTTATAGAAAGATAAAAGATCAAAATCCGAGCATTTCCGAAAACTTCACGAAAACGTTTCTTAAATGGCCGCGTGATAGACTGGAGACTACGTGACGTCCGTGACGTCAATGTTGGTCTTTCAGGGCGGAAAAACGTTCTGCGCAAGTTTCTGCGCATCCCTTATTGCCTGCGTTTGTTTGTCTCGTTCTGTGAGAGTTCTGAGTGAGAATGAATAAAATACACTAGGTGCGAACGTTTGCTCGTTGTAAAGGCTTTTTTTTTTTGCTTTTGTTGTTTTTTCGTCACTTTAAAATTACTTTGGATTCAGAACAACCAATGTTAGAGTAAAAACAGATAACTGTCAGTCTGAGGTGGAATAAAACGTTTTGAACATTTCCAAAAAGGTTTGTATTTTTCTGATAATTGTGCATTCGATTTGAGTTGATTTTGTGTCTAGTGCTTCGCCTTCTTTCGCCGGGTTGAATTAAAACCTGCTTGTATATTCTGTTATTAGTAGTTATGGTTACTTTTTTTACATGCCCAGATTTATTTACCTTTGCAGAACCAGCTTTATCCTTGTCTTCAGTCAAAGAACCGTAACGGCTAACGCATGCAATTGAACAAGCTTGTGCGCTTTTAAGCTCTTAAGTTTTAAAAACTTTCTCGGAACTTTAGAAGGCCAGCAAGCTTACTCGAGAAGAAAAGACTACTTCGATCATTTTTCTGTTGCTCAAGTAACAATAGTCAGAGTTTTTTTCCTTTGGTTTTTTCAGTTTTGATTACATAGTTTTGTTATCTTTCTGTACGCAAATTTTCCTTTCACTCGCTGTGAAGTAGCGGAGAACGACAACTGCCAGCAGTGACTTCAAAACAATCGACTCTTTGCCCGTAAACAATTGCTGGAGCTGGATTTGACTGAAGCGAGCAAAACAAATCCGTATGTGCAGTTTTCTGTACTTTCTAATGATTCAGTTTGCTGAGTTTAATTTGCTTGAATGAAGACCCTCGCATGGACCAGTTATTAAAAGTAGCTAATCTAGCTACGGTATAGTCGGAATCATGGCTTGGCTGCGAAGCTTGCAACTGATCTTTTGCTTTTAAGATCTTTAGGTAGGTTGTTTCCGTACAGAAAATTCACTTCTTCTTTGTCAGCAGTTATAAGAGTCTTAAGCCTTGTGGTTTTTTTTAATGAAAATTTGTTGTTTTGCAACCTTATTGAAGCTTTTTTTAGTTCACTTAAGCTGAATTTTATGCATGATGGAATTGTTCTTTGCTTGTCGTATCTCTTTGCCAGCTTTAAGTGGCGTCTATGGTCCTTAAAGTGACCTCAATCGGTAATTAAATCTTATACATAATTGGAAAGAAGTTTTTGCAATAATGTAACTTTAACTTTGTTTGAAGGAAATCTTACTAACGCGTAGGTTTTTAGCAGGTGTTATGCATGTTCAACTTGACAACATAAAGCAAAATTAATCTGCGCGAAACGATCAAGTTTAGAAATCTATGGTTGCTTTGAAACCGATCTTGGGGAAGGTTTACTAGAGAAAGATTAACGCTTTTTCTGCCCACATATCAACGCCAAAACTTCTACATTGAGGATTTTGTTTACATTTTAGTGATCTGCGAAGCTATAAGTGTCCGATCGAGCGTGGGTTTTAAAATATCTGCTCGAGTGCGACAAAGTTCAGTGACCTCAAACACATTGTGGGCAAACTTGAATTTCTTTGGGCAGATTATTATACAAAGATATTTTGTTTTTGTGTCCACTGTGGAGCTCCGGACCTTATATATCCGGGAACTTCGTCATATGAACACATTTTGTGAATGCATCTTGAAAAAAATCGGACTTACGCACGCACATTTCCAGTACAACTCAAGGAAATTAGTAAATGTCGTTAAAGTCAGTTTACTATGATGTATTCTTCGAGAAAATTAAATAATAAGAAGGTTATAACCACAGCTTGCGACTTTTGAAGACAAATTGCCTGTTCTTTCCAGGTTTATGGCCGCACAAACCACTTCTGCGCCAAGTCGACGCGAAAAACTCTGTTTGGAATTTCCCGCTTTTTTTCACCTGACCAACATTGACGTCACAAGCTGTTTTTTCCGACAATTTTTCCGACCGCTCTACGAAGATAAGGGCCAAAAAATAGCAATTTTTAATTGCAAATATCTCGGAGATACTGGCTTCAATTGAGCTGAGACCTCATAGTATGTTTATTTGGTTCATATTAAACACATTTCACTAGAATTGAACTAAAATAAAAAATGTCGAATTTTTGGTTCATTTGACCTTTAATAAAAAGGTGGAAAAAGGTAAAGAAACCATATTTTACGTCAATAACTCGTGACAGTAATAATAACTGATAAGGTTGAGGTCGACGGTGCGCTCCGTTTACCCCCTCTCTCCATTAATGCTCCGTTGTAAGGGTATTTAAAGCTAGTCAAAGCTACACCGAAAGGAGAGAAGTTGAAGGATGTGTTGACATCGGGGATCGAACTTGGGACCTCGCGCACCGAAGGCTGCGCACTAATTAAGCAACTGTGCTACCTTTGCTCCTCCTTTTCTCCCTAAGGACGAGGTTGACATGTTTTAATCATTATCTCAAGGACAGGGTTACCAACGAAGCAAATTATATTTTAATCTTAGCTGTACAATTACAAAGTGGGCGCTTTGTCGGTTACGGTTCATGAGGTAGTTTATGTGGCATGTCAAAATTTAACGATTCTATCGTTTAGGATGTGATGAATTTGGGTTTTATGTTACTGTATGACATCTTTGAAAGCTGGCTTTGTGATCTGTTTAAACTGATATGTAATGATAAGTCTTAGTCGAAAAGCCGTCTCCAAACTCGACGAAATACCGATACCGAATTTTATGATTGGTCACGTTTTACTTAAAGCTGTATCCATCTCGCGAGTTTGCCACCTCAAGCATGTATGCACCAGAAATCAACTTTAGACATCAGGAGAAAACATGAAAAGACCTTGAATTGATCGGTAGAACGATTGAAAAGCCCGGTCATCACCATTAAGTCTAAAGTGTTACTTTTATTAACCTGTTTACTTTACTGTACGTTGTATTAACCTGTATTAGACAGGGGAGTGAAATTGAATGGTACTGCAATACCGTGAACGATCTTCTTTTACCGAATACCGTAAACGAAAAGGATGAAAAACCGCATACCGCATATGAAAATCAAAATTACCGAAATGCCGCTTGAAAAAAAAGCTCAATAGAGTGTTTTCACATGACTTCACGGCGGCCATATTGGTGTCCCAAAACAATGAAACGGCGGCCATGTTGGTGTCCGAAACGAGTCCTGTGGGAGTTGAACTCTTTTATTATGCAAATGCTTTCTTTTGTTCCAATAAATTTGCATAGATGCTGGCCACGTGAGTGAAAACACTCTATACCGCAATACCGTAACCCCGCATGCCCCCCTCCGCACAGTGAACATGGCCACACTTACCGTGTGGAGACTGGGCACTAGTCAGTATCATGTACGTGTTACAGTCAAACCAGGTCAAGCGTTCCCGTCGCTAACAAACTAATGAATTCATTAATGGAAAAATGATTTCGTTTGTTGATTCAATAATCCATTCATAAAATGAATAATCCAACGGTCAAACTGGACCTCGATTCAATAATCAAATGTTGATTTGGTTTATGAACAAAATCTACCTGTTCTTTATTCTTGTCTGTTGTGTTCAATCGTATTTGCTTCCTTTTTCCTGCCGTTTACGATTGCGTTTTTCATTGCCTTTAATCAAAATAACAGCTAGAATAGACAGACCGCAAACGCAAAGAAACTACGAGAAACTGACAAAGGCCGAGGATCGAAATTCACCAATCACCGCACATACACTGACCTTAGTTTGACCGTTGTGTTTTCTAAGAGGTCAGGCATAGGTCTGTTGCACTGATTACTGGCAGCAAACTGGCGTACATGTAACAGTTTGTTTGGGTTTGAACTTCAGAACTCGCCAGCACTCGACTCTCAGAAAAAAAAAGAGGAAAAAACAAAATTCTGAGGTCAACTTGTGGAAAGTGTAGTTTTTCAAAAAACAGTAATCGAATCAACATTCGATTATGGAATCGAGGCTAAATATGAATATTGGATTGTTCATTTTATGAATGGATTATTGAATCAACAAACGAAATCATTTTTCCGTGAATGAATTCATTAGTTCGTTAGCGACGGGAACGCTTGACCTGGTTTGACTGTAAACTATTTCGAATAGTGTAACAACAACTAAACATTACTAAATTAATATATAGATTTAGCCAGGGCTAAAAGCGAAGCTCCCATTAATAAATTTATAATTTAAATCAAACAATAAACTTGTAATCCACAAATCAGTTAACTTTAAGGGAAAGCTAAGGCTAAGTGATTTTAGAGTGAAAAAAAAATCTTACATCGAATTGATAGCCGTATATATACACCCAAAAAATAGCAATTATCTTCGATCACATTTTAGAGCCATAATGGCTCTTGATCACTGTAGATTAGGCCTGGAAAACGAATTTTTGGAAAACAAATCAGGCCGAATTTTTTGCGTTCGACAAGTTTACTTAACAAAATCTTGCCAACAACTCTGGAAGCGTGTAAACCAACATTTCATACTTTTTATACATCACATCTGAAACAGTAATATGAGGCGTTGTTTTTATCATATAGACCTCACACAAAATGCAGTATTTCACAATTTTTCAAGACAAATTGCACTCATTCAATATTCAGAACCGTACGAAGCACCCGTGGGCTTTTAGCAAAACCGTTCCAAAAATTTCCAAAATCACCTATACGGCCAGCCGGTTCTTACTTTTGACAAGCGCCAAATTTTCAGTGAACATTAAAAGAGTTACGCGTTTCAACATAATAAAGAATTTATTGTGTTTATTTTTTTTATTAAATGGTTTTATAACGATGTGTAATCTTAAAAAGCGTTTGATACGAGCAGCATTTTGAGTACTCCTGCAAGCGTTGTTTATGAACGACTGAAAACAAACGGCAAAGCGATTAAAATTGTGAGAGACTACTAACAATCAATAAAAGAAATGTAATTCGGTGAAACATTTACAGAGACAACAATTTTCATTCACGAAGACAAGTATTAAAGCGTCTCTAAAAATCCTTAGCCTTTAAGCTTAAGCTTAAAGCTTTTAGCTGGCTTCCTGGTGTTTACTGTTTTCAAAGATGAACTCGAGGCAAGAAAATCGCTCAAAGCTTTCTTTCTGCAGCCAAAATTAAAACTAAATACTCTTCGGAACGTTTTTTCGTTCTATATGCGGAGAGAAAATATCGACTAAAGGCTTTTTAAAGTTCTGTAAGCTTATATATACTAGATCAGATCATTGCCTCAGATCTTTATACAAACGTGCATAAATTAGCCTCATAAACTGCGCTCGACTTCATGAAATTAGATATAAAAAAACAAACATACACTGTATACAATAATTACTTAGGCTTACCATTCGAGATGCAGCTCTTGAAAGCTATAAAGTAAGGCCAGAATCGCTTGAGGGTCTTTTCAACCCGCATCCAGCAAGGTAAAAACGAAAGCGATGCATCCGAAATCGGATTTCCAACTTTGGCAACCGGCGCATTTCCCGACCAAAAATTCAATAAACAAACCAGCCATGAATCAAAGAAGACTGTTGATAGCAGCTGTATTTCATTTTAAGCATCCAGTGGAAAAAGACAGTAAAAAACATTACAAGTTGACAAAATACTCTGTCAGCTTCAGCTGTCAAACTGAAAGTAAACAAGGTTCAAGATGCTGTATAAATCAGTTTCTGCATGAACTCACCTGTCAAATTTTGACCAATCAGAGCATAAAAATTGGACGGTCGTAGAGCGTGATCAACGCGTGACTATGGTGAGAAAAGTGAAAAGCCTGTCTCCCCTGCTTGTATTTTTAAATTACTGGCTGAATTTTCGAGTCCGAGATCAGTTTGAAATCAAAATGTTAATAGCGCGGGGCCATAGTGACATTAACACAACACTTTCTGTCATCATGTCATTATTTTGCTGCCGTTCTCTTTACCTTTGTATTTCTCTTTCGCGTTGCCTTTGTCTGTTCATTCTAGCTCTGTCTCGTTCTGCTTGCCGGCGTTTTTCACTATAATTTTCTCTCCTTCTTCTCGCTCTGACTCTTTCTACTTGCTTTCTTTTTTTCAAAACCAGTTGCGCGATATAATTGCGCGACGATAACGCGTTGCACCATGCGATTTCCCGCCAAAAAATCTCTACTTTCCCCTACCCTAAGAGTCCATGCGGACTACTTTCCACTACCCGGAAAGTCCGTACGGACGGACATACGCTACGTCATAACCAAATTTTCTGGGGTGGGTAGTTTACCAAATTTTCTTACCCATGGTGTTCCGCTACGCGCGCGCGAAGCGCGCGCGGAAGCTCCGCGAAAAACTTAAAAATTTGAAACAAATGTTTTTTAGCCAAATCAAACAGGAAGAGTATTCGCCACAGGGCACCCAATCTGCTATTATAGGTGAAAGTTAACCCCCCTTTAATCTGTAATTAGAACCATTTGTAACGGGCACCCCCTCCAGTATTAATCGGTAGGTGCTAAGGAAGCTCTGTGCCAAATTTGACACTTTTGTCACGTCTGTAACGATCCGGACTATATTTTAGAGACCTGACTAAATGTATTACGTTCGACCTCTAGTCAGCGTCCTTTATACACCTCTCACCTTGTATTTGACGCCCCCCACTGGGACATTTGTGGGTGGCGTCCATTTCAGCCTCACCTTCGTTTCTTCAATCATGGCCACTGACACTCTAGGTGCGGCTGGCCCTTGAGAGAAAACGTACCGGTAATAAATCCAGGCAAATTACATATGGTTGAAATGGACAGACGTGCCCGGCATGAAAGCCACCTTCCTACCCGAGAGAGAGAGTTATGGGACAGAGAGGGAAACTTAAGGGGTTGGCCAGGAGGATCAATTTAGGTTTCTATCCAACTGACCACCTACCCCTCTCCTAAGCCAACGTTAACACTTACTTCTCACTTAAGGCAAAATGTTGGCTAAGGGGAGGGGTTGGTGGTCAGTTTCCTAGAGTAGTGGAGGAGGGATGTTTTACTCCGGTTCTTTGCGGGGGAATTTCATCAACTTGCGGGGGAATAAATTAACGCAGATGACGTCATGCATCTCATTAAGATAGGATGATGTCATAGTTTAAATTAATGCCGATGACGTCATGCATTCCATTAAGATAGGATGATGTCATAGTTTTAATTAATGCCGATGACGTCATGCAACTTTAGTAACAGGATCTAAGGATCTAAGGATTTCAAAGAATAAGATATTAAAAGCATTGTTATGTCTCTGTAGGTACTTAGTCTCTGCCCATGCACTACAGCCAGATAGAATGTGCTGCCCATTCTCCAGGGAATCCCCGCATAGGCAGCATTTTTCATCAGTGACTTATGATTTTGTTTTTCTGTTGTAGCAAACCTTGGTAGGTAACAGTTGTTGGTAAAGCTCTTGTACTTAAGCGATGGTATGCGTTGGGGCATTCTTCCATGAAGAAAGCCACGCAAAAAACTCCTCCATTTTAACTTTCTCTTCGTCCCATCTGTTGTTGATAAGCTTTCCTTGCCACCTCTCCTTAGATACCGTTGATTGTATCTCCTGCTGGCGGGCTTTGAAGATTGCCTACTTTACCTTCTTAGCTTCGACTTCCTTACCATCGGCGACAGCAACTGGGTTAGGGAAGTTTAACCACAACTGAAGATCCAGCTCCTCTGCTGCGTACTTCTTGGCATCTTTAATGACGGAGTGGCGTCCATTCTGTACGGCTAGCTGTTCAAACGATCTTACGGCTGCCATTGTAGCGTCAGCCTTGCAATAAAGCTTTACTGCTGATTTGATCTTAGTGTTCTTGTATTCATTCTCCACGGACTTGAGACCTCTTCCACCGAGCTTCCTAGACATGTAGAGTATCGCTGTTGATCCCTTGGGGAGATTTCCTCCATTCTCCACGATGATCTTTCTTCCCTGTCGGTCAAGCTTTTAGATGTTTGATATCTGCCAAGTTTGTGTCCACACCAAGTATGTAAGTACTAGTAAAGCGTTCTGATTGGACGCCACTACCTTTGCATGATCTGACAATGGGCTGGACCAGATGATTGATGGCCTCTGTAAGTATGTCTTTGCTGCGGTTTCCAGTACTTGCTTATCCTCTTGCTTGGTGTTTTCGAAAACGCCTAGGAACTTATAGGTGTTATGTTGGTCCAGGTTCTTGATAGGATTAAGATCAGCTATCTTCATATCTCCACTTCTTTGCTCGACTTGCCCCCACTTCACGTGTATCACTGCACACTTCTTCTCATTCCCCTTCAAACCGGTGCTTTCCATTCAATTCTTTGCGACTGTCATGACTCGTTTCAGCTTGTTGTTGTTGTTGTTGTGATTATTATTATTATTATTATTATTATTATTATTATCAAAACTATAACAAAATTCTCAAATCTGATTGGCTATAAACTGCCCTGATTTCAGCCTTGATAAAAGGCCTTTTTTTTTTATAGTGGAAAGCGCACTTAGCTTATCTAGCTAGTCTACAGGCCCTCCACTCAAATACTTCAAAACAAGTAATTCAAATACAAACATAACAGGATTAAAAACCCCAACTGGCAGGAGGCAACCAGGCCCCGGTTGTTCAAACGTTGGATAGCACTATCCACCGGATAAATCACTATCCAGCCGATAATTATTACAGAAATCAATTACGCTATCTGCTGGATAGTGATTTATCCGCTGGATAGCGCTATCCAACGTTTGAACAACCTGGGCCAGTTGGCTATTTACAAGCGTTGCCGAGGATTTGAGCTCGGGACGACCGGCAACAAATCCAGCAAGTCGACAGAGCGGGACTCGAACCCGGGATCAACGGATTACGAGTCCGACGCACTGACCACTCGGCCACAGTGCCTCCTAAAACAGTTTAAGGTGATTCCCTAGTTTTGCACTGCGCATCTCTTAATGCACATAACAAGATGGCCGCCGTAAAAAAAACAGCATGTGAAGTAATATTATTAAAATGAAGTTGACTGAAGAGAAACGCTATTGGAATTTTTGCTTGTTGTTTTTTCTTGGCAAGGTGAGACTTAATGTGTTGGGAATGTGCATAACGTAAGCAGTAGGTGTGTTGCTGAGTTCGACCACCTCTCGGAGAACCTCGATAGTGGATGTTTAACTTGTGCTTGCTCACTTTGATTTTCATTTAAACACTTTCTTTATCACATTGTGTCCTAAATGTGATATTTCGATGTAAATTCTGTAAAAACAGATTTTTTTAATACTTTCTTACCCTTTCACATACATTCTATTTTGAAACTCGCCCCCCAGTCCTCTCTCAAAAATCGGAGAAAATGCGTTTGGTGCACACTTTCTGCAGCTCTACCGCAAAAACGAGTGCGATGACCCCATTTTTTATTTCATGACTTTAATAAGGACAGTGCTTCCTTTTTTTTAGAAAAAAATTGGCACAAATCTATGTTCAGTTTTTCCGCAATTTTACTAAATTGTACGGATTGAGCCATCACGGGTCGAAAAGCGCGCGTCCAATTTAATTCTACTTTGGAGCGTGAAGTAAAAACAAGGGCATTAAAAGGCATTTTTCTGGTACGTAAGTGGATAAACAATACATTAAAGTCAAATTCTGTGTGATGCCACATGCATCATCGAAAAAATGTTTCCTTTTTGTCTAGTTTTGGGCTGCCCGTGGTTTTTGTAAAAGGGTCCTAAATAGCCGTATTTGTCAGCATTGTGACGTCAAAACGAGCACGGTGACCACCACTTTTTATTACTTTTTTATCATCTTCTTGACTTGTTACATCAGTGTACCAAGTTTTAGCTACAATCTATGTTAGGTTCTTTTACTATGGAATCACCTTAATTGGACAGTACGCTTCATACCTAAGTAATTAGATAGTACACGCCATCACGCGCGCGCTTAAATGGCTTTTTTTTTTCACTGCTAGCAAAAAATAGTCTTGGAATTTCTTGTTTAAAAAATAACCTTCTATATCACAAATTGATTAATTAGTAACAGAACTTCGTGTCGTCTAATTGGGTCTGTAATTATACTCGTGATTAAACGATCACTAATCACTCGTATGATTACAGAACAAATTGTCTCCGCCATGGCCGGGTATAAGCTCAGTTAAGAGAACCCACAGTTAATGCAAAATTTGAATTCAGATACTAATTAAAGCTTTAAAGGCAAATTCATTGAATTCTTTTTCTTTTTTTCTACAATTTGATGATTGGATGTTCTAAAAGGAAGAGCCAAAATCATCCAAGAAAATCGTACTTTTTGGCAAAAGAATAAAATACCTGGCATAAACTTCTTAGATTAAAAGTTTAAAAACATCGTCAGTTCCATGCTCCCTACCTCTCCTTGCATCATGGGAAAAGTGGTTAAGTTATCGGAAAAAAAGAAAACTTATTTCCCAACAAATAATGTATTTTTATAATGTATTTTTGGTATATAACAGGCCATTTACGAGTTACCCCAAGCCTCTGTTTCAAAACGAGACTAAGCGCGAAGCCATTGATGTGACAATGATTTTCTATTCTCATGCACAGAAAACTTATTTTCACAAGAAAAGTTTATTACTTAGCGAAGCCATTGATGTGACAATGATTTTCTATTCTCATGCACAGAAAACTTATTTTCACAAGAAAAGTTTATTACTTAGCCTAGTTTTGAAACAGAGGCTTGAGGTAACTATGACTACTTACTTGATGTCTGTAGCGATGTGGCCGTACCATAGGGCCCGGGTCCAACGGCCGTAAAAGCCCGAACAGAGATACTGTACTGGGAACAAGTGAGGAAATCATAAAAAAAAGCAAAGGTTTTTGTTGTATTGACTCCTTTGCTGCTTGCAACTGCTCGCCGTGAGCGTCCTCTCGTGGCTACCAACTGCGCATTTGCTTCATAGAGAACGACTTTCCCATTGCTCTTCTCCGTTGGTAGAAGAGCCCATGAAACCTTGAATGTTGTTTCATTCAGTTCAGTAGTGAAAACTGTATCTGGACCGAAACTGGGTGCTATCAAGAAAAAGAAACATTCAAAAATTTAATAATAAACAAAGAGGTCGTAATAATACTTACATTCGACAAAAATAAATATAACTCTTTATATTGGAAAGTTCTCTTGGGCACAAAGATACCAATGAAACTTACTACAATTCTTTTGGGATATTCACAACTTCCTGTATAAAAAATCGAAAAGCGTTCCAGTGGAGTTTGTCGTTTGTTTTAATCGCCTTTTTATGCCAGCTCTCACGGGTTTTCATCAATTGTTTGATCTCAGGTGTGATGAAACGGATTCGGGCGTGATTTGATCTTCATACGTTTAATTGGTGCATGTTCACTCAGCGTGTCAAGGAATAACTTATTGAATACATCAACTTGATCGTAGTGTTTCTGATTGGTTAAAGCAAAATTTCAATCAATCCGAGGCACTGTCATCAGTATGTAATTTCTGCGCTCTTTTCTCAGAGACGTCATTTCGTTGGGCAATCCTGTCGTGGCGTTGGAAATGTGGGCTGTTTCCTCAGGCAAATGATATTTCAAGTATGAGAACTGAGAATTCGTAGCCTAACGCATATAAGCTTAGCCGAAAGGATCGTTCATGTACATGTACGTGTTTTCATTCTTACATTGACTGTACATGTCTTACCATCTTCACTTGTTCTCTCCGTCACAACAGAGCTTCTCGGTCCGTCCCCAGCGTTAGTGAATGCTGACACTTGGAATTCGTATCCTGTAAATTTCCCCAGCCCCGTGATCGTTGTAGAGAGAACTGTTCCATCGTGAACAGTGACAGTGTTCGCTTGACCAGAGGTGCCATTTATCCGGTAGTACAGTGTAAATCCCAAAATAACTCCATTTTGGGATATCCCGGGGGGAAGTTGCCAGTTCGCTAAAACACTAGTCGAGTTGTTGACAGTCACAACCAGGTTCGCAGGGGCTTGTGAAGGAGCTGAAAACGAGAAGTCAAAAGGACATATTTAGGATGATGGCATTTGACTACAATAACAAGGATGCATTTCGATTATCTAAATTTGTCAATCCCGCAGAGATTAAAAAAAAATGCAACGGCCTTAGCCTGCACCAGAAAACAATAATTATTACTATGCCTTTATCTACCCTAAAAAAATATTCCATATAAATGCATTTTAAAAAAACAATCTGTCCCTAAAAATTCAAGACAGATTCTACCTTGATCATCTGTTCCCAACAGCGATATAGGTAAAACGACAAAACAGATATGGAGACAAATAGAGTATTATAATAGAAGGCAGGATTGAAGACGTAATCGGGCGAGTAATCAACGATTGCCAATCGTTCGAGGCGCCTTCACACTCTTATTGGGGAGTGGGCGAGCGACAATTTCAATCTTTGAGAAAGAGCAAGATAAATTGATTATCGTCGGTATCCTCAAAAAAGGCTAGCACTTAGAAATAGCTCCACAGTGAATACTTACCTTCCGCGTTAGTTCTCACAGTTTTAACGGCACTTGACGGTCCATCACCCATAATTGAAAAAGCTAATACTTGAAATTCATATTTTGTGAATATCCCAAGTCCAGTGACTTCATGGCTAAGGGTAGAGTAGCCTTCAATGGTTATGACGGTAAGTGGATCCTCAGCAGAGCTTAAGTTTCTGTACAGTAGCCTGAATCCTGTAATCGCCTTGAAGTCTACCGTTGGTAACTTCCAGGATGCTTGAACACTGGTGGAGGAGGCAGGGGTCACTATAAAGCTTGTGGGAGCACGGCTTGGCGCTAGAAGAAAAGTAAGTATCTGGATGATGATTTACTGTGTATTGCTAGAGGACCTAGAGATTCAGTGTGGGAAGAAAACATGAAAGAAAAGCAGAGAGGGAACTTTAAAGAAAAAAAACAACAATAACAACAACACCGACAAGACCTCAACAGCTTTTATCACTGCTCCGAAAGAACGTTACTAAAGATGTGTTTCTCTCAATCCGGATGATGAAAAATCTACCTATTATTTACCATATATTGTTAGAGGGCCTATGGATTGCGCAAAGAATAAAGAAATGGTACTTGACTGAAGAGAAATACCAACAGCAGGAACTGAATTAATAGTTTTCATCAATGCATTGAAATAGCATTTTTACAAAAAAATGTGTCATAATGCTTCAAGAGAGAATACTTATCGACATCCACGGAAGCTAACTAAAAACAATAGTTGGTAATAAGCAACAATTAATTTTTATTTGTGGTCACAAAAACTAATCTCAAGAAAGAAGAAGATGAAAAATGTCCACTTTCAAAAAATGACCTAGTTGGTGCAAATTTCTGGGAAAGTATATGCACCGATATGCTCCAATGAATCCATATAAATCATATTAAATAGGGCTTGTGAGTAAGCTTCACTTTACTTCGCTATTAGTGTGTGATTGTACGGCGATATCCTCAACTATATTCGAACGCTTTTAAGGTTGTTACTACTTCGTGCACATTACACAGTTGTGCCGGATTTCTCTTAGACGGAGACCGAACGTTGACCATTATTTTCTCAAACTGTCCCAAGCACTATTTTTACAAAACCGACGGGTAATGGGGGTTAGGGAAGGGGGTTGACATTTCAGACTACACTATACACAATTTACCTGTTGTTGTGAGTATTCCATACACCTCTACTCTTAAAGCTTTTTCAGCTTCAAACTCTGTCGGATGAAAGCGAATGAACCTTGCTCTAACTATACCAACCAGACTGTGTTTGACGATATCATCCTCCCCGTCATTGGCGTTAAAGATCTGCAAACAGTTAACATTGTTGTAAATTAAATGTAACCACTAGACTAAGAAAATAGGTTCTAAAGCTGCTCTTTTTTTGGTGCAAAAGTTACCTTAGCAATTTTTTTTTTCAGATCGAATAGCTTAACCCGCGGGTAGAACGCAACTTTCCCTTAGTAAACCTAACATCAGTTAGCCTACAAAAAGTTGTCTCGTGTAACCGCGGAATTTTTTATTTTTGTATTTTTATATAAAATCTTTCCAATTTAACTTTCTTCACATTGACCATAAAACATCTTGTTCCCACTACCCCCAATCCAAAAAAAAAATTAATGGTCATACAAATTTTCTTTGGGTCGTCCCAAGGGAAATTAAGAAAAAAAATCCGGGTTTAACAGAGTGTATTATGGGCACTATGAAAACGGTTACAGATTCCATTAATGAATTTATTATTCGAAAGTTGAGTCCGTCGGTAGTTGTAGATTTCAGATTCATCTTCGCATTCTTGCATGTATGTGTGGCCGTGAATTGATACGCCAGGCAGTTAAGACATTTCTACCAGCTCAGTTTCCCTGAATTTGATTTCAACGTCTTCTAAGAAATTTAATCCACTGAAATATTTTCCGTCTGACCAAATACAGAGAAGTTCTCGTAAAATATTCACTGCTCATTGCGCATGCAGAAATGCCGATTTTAATTTGGCACTAATAAGAACGACAAACGGATTCATTTTACAAATAATCAATTCCTTAATAGAACCTTGGGCCGTACGTTTCACCTGCCTTGACTGTAATCCTCATTTTTGGAATCCATAATATACTCTGCTTGCCTGCCAAATGTTGCTTAATCGCAAATAGCGGGTGGAGGTAATCATTGTCACAGTTTTGGATGACATAGCGACCGTAGATGTCCTCAGAGCAAGCAATTATTATTATAAAACTCGACGAAGCGCGCTTTTTTCATTATGGTCATTACGAACGACTACAAACGTCCAAAAGGACAGGGGCACCCAACGTCAGTTTTCGGAAAATATCTGTTCGGAAGACGATTTGAGATCTAGAATTTTCGGAACATTTGATGTAAAATTTCTTGCTTGCCTGCCTCTCCTAGCATTTTCGAACATCTAATGGTATTATTGCCCATTTTTAACGGATTTTGCCCTAAAAAGGTCACCAAGAATTTTTGGTAACCTTTTTTCTGGCTGAGATTTTCGAAAAGGTAAGATTGGATCCCTATAACTTTCGGATAATTAGACTTTCAGCTAGGAAACCCGAACAGATGAAAGATTTTTAGGGGATAAAAATATGCCTATAACTACCGTTTAAATACTAAAAGACTTTTAAAAATGCTATGTTTGAGTGGTTTTGAACTATATTCTCGTTGGGTACCCCTGAAAAGGAGACAATTTCCGAGGGGGTGGAGAGGTTTGTTTCCAGGGGGTCTGAGTAAGATTTGTGAGTTACTGATGAAAAAACAGGTTCTCTGTTGAGCAGGCTTTCAGTTATTTCACTATTACCGGTCTTCAAAACAAGTATTTCTTGAGAGAATGGGTATTCTCAGGAGATAATTATTTTCATATCAATAGTTTCGCACTTAGCCTTGCTTTGATACAGAGGCTTGGAGCAACTCGGAAATGCCCATTAAGTAGCTCTAATTGCGTTGCAAATTTTCTTGTGTCCAAACACACCTTGTCAGTGTCGTTTTCTTGATAAGTTAACCAGGTTGAGTTGTCTAGCGAATAACGTAATTTGTACTTTTTTGTCCAATGATTGGCACTTGAACCTTGAGTGGCTACGGCGCAGATAAAGAACTGGTCTTTCAGGTCAATTTGTAAGTAGTCGTTGTCATCACTATTTCCGCTAGGTGACCAGGCGCCATCTCCGTTTAGACGACCTTTGGAAGCTTCATTACCAGAACGATGAGTCGAGGCAGAGAAACTGTTGTCTGGGATAGCGTCACTGCTGGCCAGACCGATAGCCTGGATTTGGCACGCTAAAAATGGATATTTATAACTTAATCATATGTTGATTGAACCTTACGAGGACAAAAGTGAATAGATTTTTTCTGTTATATCATCGCCCCTAAGTAAGTATCATGTTTAAGATTAAAGGGGCTACCTCACGCTCTTTGTTATGTTTTTCAAATCTTAAAACGTGTCCGTGCTCAATTGATTTCAACGACTAATGGTCCATTTTTTGTTATTCAGGGCTGTATTCACGCTCTGAAACTGTTCCTGTCTTCTACTGCAACGGATGGCAAAAGTGGACGTAAACTGAAACTTGAAAATGTTTGGCCAAATTTTTCAACTTGTAATGCGGTGCCTAGAATAATCACCGAAAAAATTGTAATGTGTAGTTCCAGATAATATTCTTATCCCCAACTCTCTCCACGGAGGGCAACGGAAAATTCCGAGGGGAGAGGAGGTCCAAGAGAAGGCAATTTCCGAGGGGATGGGGAGTTGCTTCCCAAGGTTGGTTCTAATTACGGTTAAGCTCTGGGTACATTAACAAGAGTTCGTACTGATTTTTCGATCCAAAATTCAAGACTTTACCAGACATAATTCCAAACCAATAGTTTTTTTTTCCAGACTCAAAGTTATCAAATACAGTCGAACAGACGGTGGTCACGTACAAGAATTGAAGCACATGGGGCCTCTTCCAAGAAGAGGTCTAGACACACCTACTTTATGGAAGATATTTATTGCATGCCATGTCTAAGTTACGTCATGTGTAGTTCCCTGCTGTCACTATATTCTAAGTAGCACGGTACATACAGCGAACATAGAGATCCGAGTATGCGTCAAGTGGTCGTTTACAGAAGGTGTGGTCGCACATGGAGGTTCGACTGTAGATGATCGATAAAGACCTTGAAAAAAGGAGGATTCAAACATTTTTCATGACGCACTGCAAACCTACAGTGACCACGGTGCACTGCGGACATAAGAGAATATTCTGTTATTGAATGTCTTGGCTACGAGCGAGATTGAATAGGATTTGACCATGGAAAAAAACATCACTTATTAAGCACTTTATGTTGCTTTGAAAAAGAGAAAAAGCACCCAAACTTTTTACCATTTTTCCGGATTTTAACCCTATTTTCCAGACGTTTTACAGGTCTGGAAAATTGCTCTGCAAACTTCAAGACTTTTTCAAGAATTTGTATTTAAGACTCTGATTAAAGAAGCTGTGAACGTTGGGTACCGCCACCAAATTGAAAGAAACATTAATGACAAATAACTGCTCAAAAAGGTAGATGGTATCAATGACAAAGCAACACTACAAAAAGAAGAACAGATGGACAAACTTGAAGATTGAATGGGATACAAATTGTGGTTTTTGCAAACTTGTTCAGTTATTGCTGTTTGTAACGATTGGTATGATGCTTGGCAGACATTTTTTTTTTTGACGCAAAACTGTGATTTTGTCACTTACAGGTAATTTCTCGAGTTTTATAGCGAACAACGACGCGTAACTGGCATTTTAAACAAAAGGAAGTAAACAGCCATGACACAGCTCCTTAAAGGCAGCGTTCCCGTAGTTCAAGACCTTGTACTCGGGCACTAAAGTGGGCATCGGATTGCTGTGTATACACAGCAATCCGATGCCCACTTTAGTGCCTTTAAAATCAGTTTCAAAATACATATGGTTTGGTAAGGGTACACAACGTTTCTGTTAGCTCCGGAGCAATCCACTGCTTTGTGACTTCAAAACAGGATTGACCTAAAACAGCAGAATTTCTTGACATATCCTCTTTAAATATCGAAAGTTGTTGTTTTTGTGTTTTTTAAATTAAGGGTCTGTTCGGTCTATTAATGGTTTTTCAAGGGGTATCCGCCTGGGTGTAGCGCGTGGGTTTAGACCGGCACAAAATGATGATGTGCTTACATTTAGTTAGCCTGTTCACAGACCCTCTATTTTCCATTCAAAGTCCGTCGAGCGCGCGTGATAAAAAATAAACCACGGGGGATTTATTGACCGCCGGCACAAAGGGTAGGGGTGGGGGGAGCTCTCGCTCGCTCTCGCGCATGCCAATGTTTTCCAAAAGAACAAAAAGAAAAATGAAACAACGTCTGTGTACAGGCTAACACTTAGTACCTTTACCCATACACCAGGGTTCTATCTAGGGTATTTGAGGGGTAGAAGCTCCCCCCAAAAAAAAAATGCCCAGCTTCCCCAAAAAAAAAAAAAAAACAATATTTTTATCATCACAGTCTATAAGTAACTATATCGGAAAAAAATCCAGACGCGATCAGGCCAGTGCACACACCGTAACATTTCTTAAAACTGTGGCTCAAGATGAACCAAGTTGCATCTCAGACTCGGTGCATATTCACTTGAAAAAATTCCCAGGTGGGAAATGTCCCCGGATCCCCCTAGGAAACTCGTAGCCTTCGGCCACTCGGGACTTCTCCCCCAAACGATAAATCCTAGATAGAACCCTGTACACACTGTAGAGCCATGGAGAAGATTTCATATGAGATATCATATGTACTGACGTCCGAGCTTACTGTTCACATGTTAAAATATATTGTAAGAGGGCACGTCTGTTGTCCTCTCATGTACGACTCTTAATTCATTCATTCAACAAATTCCATCAGGGAGCACTAACCATAATACTAATGCGTGCAAAAGTCACCGAAAACATTATTAAAACTTGAAAAAGTTGGCCCCGCCTTTCCAACCATGCCTAAATATGTATAGGTAATGGCACGATTGGTAGTGATATTTGGCATAAATACCACGAGTGACATTTCGAAATTGTTATACGTAATTTCACGAGCCGTTAGGCGACTGAAATTTGAGACAATTTTGAAATATCACGTGTGGTATTCATGCCAAATATCACGTACAAATTATGCTATTATTTGTTTATACTACTACCAGCAAAAGTTTTGTAATTTTCACATGTAGATATTTCAAATTAAGCTGAAATACCACTGCTTTGAGCCAATCAAATTGCAGAAATTTAAATTTAAAGCCTTAAATAACAACGCTGGAGCGTTATTTTTTTTTTTGAAATTCAACTGATATTAAAGAAGTTTTACCTTTTGAAGAAGATAGGAAATAGCATGACGTAGCCACTTTCAGCTTTGTTTAATTAATTAGCAACTCCTGCAGTTTATGTTGAGCACTGAAGCTCATTTGATTCGATTCCCTTGACCTAAACAAATTTTTAGCTTTCGTTTGGGACAAGGAGACAATTTTGTTCCTGTTCACAGGGGCACCCAGCGACTGTTTTCTGTAAAATATCTGTTCGGAGAAGCAAATATTGACTAAAATTTTCTATTTCTTGAGGACGGCTAAAATTTCTAGGTGACTGTTCCATTCATGTACAATTTTCGAAGCTTACCTAACAAATTCCCTAGGATTTTCATAAGTTTAATCAATTCACATTTCACTCCCCAGGTTTAGGTATTTGTCGTGTAAAAAGGAAGCCTAAGATTTTCTGATTCAAAAGTGCCATGAGGAAAGAAATTAGAAAAATTCTAACTTTCGTAAAACGTTAAATTACATCTAAAGTTTTCGGGAAAGTAATACTGAAGCCTTAATAATTACGAAAAGATTTAAGTTGCCCTAGGATGACCGAACAGATACAAATTTAAGAATGCATTTCTAGAGATCTAAAATTACTCTCGATAGCCCAAAAAGTGTTTTCAATGTATTTAGGAGCACCTGTGTTCAGGGCTATCAACCAGGGCCGGTAGCCCGCCAAACCCCCAGCTAGTTAACCATCTTTAGCCAGCTATTTTCATCTCCTCCCACCATAACTGCTGACAAAAAATAGGCACCATCGGACAAAATTGTAAAGCATACGTTCCACAGTTTTGAATGACAATGAACGCATATTTAAACAGGTTTAGATCTGTGAAATGTTCGAACCGTGCGGTGTCGTGGAACGCCTGGGACATTTCAACGGCATTATTCTTAGTCTTGCGTGTATTCTGACAAAACAACATGGCGTCCGCGGTGGAAAATTCCTCTTGAAAAGCCCTGGAAATGCCATTTCAGAGACATTAAATTTCAAAATGTCCCTAGATGCCTCAGCCCTCAAGAACTTGTGCCTTTGGTGCGAGTTCCAAAGCCACCTACTATTCATTATCAGCCTGCTACTTAAAACCTTTTTGACAGCCTTTCTGTTTCGATCCTGTTCGTTCAAATGTTACAGGGCGGCCTGTACACTTACCTGGGTATACCGTAATTTCAGTACGGCTAATCTGTCAGGATCCGTGAGACAGATAGAACATTTAAAAAGTAAATAAATTATAAAAAAACGTATTTTTTCAATATGTCTGCACCTATATTGTGCTGTTTTACTGCCGGGCAAAATAATTCCGGGTAGCCATCATATCCCAACATAATTATGAAATTTGTTCCTGACTGATCGTTAACATGTGAGTACTACATGTTTGCTTCTCAGTTTGCTTGCTTGTTTGTTTTGTTGTTTTTTTCCCTTATTGACGTCATTGCTTACATTATTTGTAGTTTGTGCAATTTTCAGCTCTTTGTAAGTGTTAAAAAAGAAAATAGCAGCAATCAAAATCAGCGAAATTGCTGGGTGGCAAAAATGTTTACTATTTGAGCTCACATATTCTTTGTAAAAATTCGAGTTTTTTAAAAAAAATTTCTCCAAAGCTATTCGATTAATGGGGCTCAAATTTTGGTACGGTCTTTTGATCAGACATTTTATTTCAGTAGCTTCATCAAACAATGATAGCCATATGTTAATGAAGCAAAAATGTAAACAAAGATTCGCCTATAATTTCTTTGTCTTTTAAGGATTTAAAAAAAAAAAAAAAAACCGGAAGAAACTACGCACAATATTTTTGCTCTATCCTATGTGAAACACTAATGCAAAGTGCATGACACTAATCCCGGATGGTTCTGTACCTCTTCGTGCAGAATAAACCTCAACTTCGCAGAAATTTAGTGCGATTGTCCTTTCATCATGTCTTCGAATGGTGACGTATCTTCCGTACAAACTTGGACGACAGAAGAACGAGGCACCCTTGCCTGGAAAAACGCTATAGCCATCCCCACACTTTGGATTGATGATACCTCCGTTACTCGAATTTACTCCTAAAATATAAATGCACAGATTGGCCGTAAAGACCTTCTTCACGGTACTCGCCATCTTTGCATTGTTGGCCAACAACTCCCAAAATTGTTGGATGTTACATGCTGCGTTGTTTGCACAGCCTGTTGCATGTTGTTGCGTGTTGTTGGGAGTTGTTGCACAAAGTTTGAAACCGGTAAACCTTTTAGCCCCGTGCAAACGGACGCAACACAGAGGGCAAGAAATCCGCTCGAGTTTGTTCATTCTCGAAAAAAGAAAACGAAGAACGTTTCACTTTAAACACGATAATGATAAATAATGAGAGGAAGGGACAATTGTTTCTTTTCTAGATGCAGTAGTGACCGTAGATGTCATCAAAGCAATCAAAAATGGCGTAAAAACTTGTCGCAACTGGAACTGGACATTTTGCAAGAGTAAAATCGTCGTACCCTTTTGACAGTGTAAACAAACTCGACCGCGATTAATCCGATTGGCAAGTGACATTGCTTTTATCCTATCAACCCTAAAGCGCGTACGAACATGGCGGGTATCGTGAATAAGGGCTATTTCAGAATAAGAATATATATACACTATTTTAATTCTAAAAGTCAACTTTTTAATGCTTTCATCGCATGGCAAAATCAAGTTTGCAGAAGATACTAATAGCCCACGTTCGATATATTGAAATTCTAACATGACTCCGAAGCTTATGGGAAAAAATAGCAAATTTTTCACGACTCCACTGTCTCGCAATACCCAGAAAAGACTTGAGCACAAAGAAAACTAAACTAAATATAGAAAAATGACCAGAAAGCCTAGGAGTCATGTTAGAATTTTAATATACTGATCGTTGGCTATTAAGATGAATATATCACTCCAATGCACGTATTTATCTCGTGACCTGCGGTGTAAAATGCACCCGCACTAACAAAATATTCACTGTCTTTACCACAAATGTTTACTCACCCACTCTGATTTCGAAAGGATTCAATCTATCCCCACAACAGTCTCCTCTGTTTACGACGTAAACTTCATTCACTAGCTCCACGTTTCCCAAGTCTACTCTCCACCAGGGCTGTTTTTCGTCAAGCGTGTGTGCACATGACCCGCCATTCAGATGAGTATTACTGTCTCCATCCACCGCGTGACCACTAGCTGTTAAAGTACTTGACTGACTCGTGTTCTTTTGATACGCTAAATTTTCTTCAAAGAAACAAGGAGGTTGTTCAATAATGCTGTTTATTCTAATGCAACGATCATGTTCACTTTCATATCTTATCCGAAGCTCAAAATTAATATGAATCATTTCAATAGCCTAAATTTCAGCCATCTCCTTGAGTCGCATAAGGGACGTCTGAATCAACGAGCCTCTAATGCCGTCCAGTGACGTCATTACCCGAAAACCAGGTAGTGATTTTCATTGGTTGATTGTCCAAACATTGCTGCATAATTATGTATAATTATGAGAAATTTTAGCGGAACTGTCATGTGATATTCAGCAGATCGCGTGCTTGCGTAAAGTTCAAAATGTCGACAATCTTTAAAGAGCAAAATATCCCATGTCTTCGAAATTATGACTTGTTAAATTGAATTACGAATGAAGAATCAATGCGAAAAGGCGGTAGGTTTTCATTTAAAACCGCTTTGTGGTTTTGGCAGTGATTTTTTTGTGTGTAGCTAGCAAATTACCAAACCTTGTCATTTCCACTTTCAAGTGTAATGATTAATTTTCTTTCTTTCTTGTTTGTTCGTTAAGGACCAAATAGCTCCTTTTAAATTAAGGCAAATTGAAGGAAGAGACGTTCTTTGTGTGTTCAATATTGCGTGGCCGCGATCAAGTTTGATTATTGAATTACGGCCGCCATACAAGCAAAAGGTTTGTTCAACATACTGCATGTACTTATTAAGACGGAATCCGTTAGGAAATTGAAAAATTCTAATTTTCAGTGGACAAAAACCTTGTACCAGAATAATTTCAATTATTTAGCATTCCTTTTTTACACTTTTAGAGGACTATAAATGTCATAAGTTATATATGAAATAACTCCAACGAAAAGGTTCTTATGGGAACCCGAGAAAACAAACTTCAAAAGCTTCCAATTTGCACAAAACAAAATCTTACTTATGACGATTTTACCTGTGTTTTCTCAATTGCCGTTAAATTTGTTTTCCTCAGGTACCCCAAGAGCCTTCCCTTTGGAATTATTTCATATTACTTATGACATTTTTAGCCTTTGAAAAGTGTAGAAGAATGCAATACGACTCAAAATATTCTGGTACAACGTTTTTGTCCCCTCTTTGCTTTGTTCTCAATTTCCTGATGGATTCCGTCTTAAACGATTTGAATGTTTAACATAAATAATGAATGACGAGTAAAACAATTCTGTACCAGGTAGACCTAATTCTCGGTGATATGCCTTTGTTTGCCAGTTTCCAATCTTGTTTACTTTTTGCATAAATTAAAGCAGAGGAGTAGTGGCGTAATTGGATGGCATTATCGGCTCGTTGATTCAGACTTCCCTTTCGAGGGTATGTGACTCGAGGTTGGGGACGGTTATCATTTCTTAGTAAAATCCAACTAGTGGTCTTTTATCAATGCTGCGTTCTGATTGGTTGAGCTACTACTAGGCTATATGTTATAGCCCACTAGTAGCGAAAAGCGCCGGCTTTTTGGCGGGAAAAAAGGATTTAAGTCTAGCTTTAACTAGCTAAAGCTGTTTTGTCTGGTTATTTTTGACCAACTAGTTGGATTTTACTAAGACAATTATTCCTCTACCCCTCATGGCCTATGAGTCAATAGCCCATGAGGCCTTGGGCCTCATGGGCTATTGACTCGGGGCCCATTAGGGCTCGAGGAATAATTATTAAGTATATTTCAATTCAATAATAAAAATTACTTAATTAATCAACAATAAAATGACAAGTTCTCTGTATATCAAGGCACATTAATATTATGTCAAAAGAAAGAAAAAAGAGTGGAGCCTCCAATCTCCACACGTAAGGTTATCCAGATTATGAAATCCGGGAAATTTTTCCTGGTGGAATCCGCTATCCAGGGCTTTGGATTTCGGAATTTAGTTGACTAAAAATGAGAATCCGGAATCCATGTCCCGCTGACAAAGAAATCCGGAATCTACAGCTTGGAATCGAGAATCCAAGACTGATTCGGTTTACCTCACATGGGGCGACACCAGCCTGACCAACAGCTCCTAATAACCTTCATAAAGCATTATTCCTGTATTCCCCTTTGTTTCTACAGCATGCATGTTGCTTGAACTTACCATAACTGCGGCTAATAACCAATAACTAAATTTTTTGAGTACCTTGATCTTTAACTCTTTTTTTTTTTTATCGCAATAGCATTTTGTCATTAATATGACTGGTGTAATTGTAATTAAATTTCGACCCTGCTCGCCCTAGAGACTCCAACAGCTCACTGTATAGAGCATCCAAACTAGAAATCAGAGGGTCGTGAGTTTGATTCTCATGGCGAACAATTTCGTACATCATGGCTGCCGCGCATGCGAAACGCGCCACTTTTTGGACTTAGCTTTCAAAACGCTGTGAATAAAATCAGTACAAAGAAATGTATGAGAATTTGCCCTACCGTGTTAAAAATTGTCCTCTAGCACGTCAAGAACAAGTTTAATCTCGGGTCCACAAATCTAGTTCTTAAAATGCGTGTATACTTTTGCCTTTGAGCAGTGTAGTTTTCATATATACAGTGAACAGAAGATTTCTAACGTGGTGTAAACTTTGTTGTATTTCGAGGAAATCCGCCATGAGTCTTTTCAAAACTGGGCCGAGGTCCTTCTGCAGAACGGCAAAATCAAAACACAAGTTGCTTCTGTTTGAAGTCCACAAATCCAGTTCGATTGTGCAGGTAACAAAGGTAGTTTTAAGCTTAGCCTGCGTGGCAGGCGTGTGAAAGGGAAGGGAAAGGGAGTTTTAGGTGCCAGAGAAACGCGAGAGGCGCGCGAGGAGGGAGGGAGGGAAAAGCCTGCCAGAGGACCATTGTTTTTCTCGTTTTTAACATCCACCAGGCGAATGTCAAAGTCCTGATTGGTCCGTCTTCAAAACATGTCAATCACAGCCGTAATACCTTAATCCGATTGGCTGAAATCAACATCACGCTACTGAGTAAGTTAATCGATCTTTCAGTAATCATTTAAAAATATGTTCTTAGTGAGGCGTGATGAGATTTCTGTATGGAATTCATCGTTTTAGAACGATTAGAAACCGAAGGTATCTATTTCAGCTTGAAAGGAGAATAGAAGAAAGCAGTTAAAAGACTCGTATGAAGGAAAAGACCTGTCAGCTAGATGAGTTTTGCTGACTGGTTTGAGAAGTCTTGTCTCCCAACGGCTTATTTTACTCACTAGAAGAGAGAAAGGAAAAATTATGCTGCCTGTGTGCTTGTTATCTGCTGTTTGACCTTAAACGCCTACCACGCAGGCTGCGCTTATCAACGACCAGATTGTTGAAGACGAAGCGATCTATAATCCTTAGCGATTTTTGGTTTGAGGACTTCTTCTTGCTGGTTATAGACGTTAGAAAGCCGCCAGGAACTTACCGTACTTCAATAATAATATTGATTGCAGAATTAGCCTTATTGTAGATCTTTGAAGTTCCGCTCTTCTTTCCGTGCAACCAGCGTTCTTTTGTATGCTGCGCTGGATCCAGTTCGAGAGTCAGCAAAGTGTTTGTAATTAATTTCTCCGTCAAACGCTGCATGCAAGTTGGGAAGTCCAACGCGATACCTTCAGCAAAAACGTAATAGATTTATGCTGGATTTTATATAACAAGCCACGCATGGTTGCGACTTTCTTCTTTCAACGTACGAGCGCATTTACACTTTTTTAAATAGTACCCTCACTTCAGATTTCTTGTTTTAGGAAAACAAAAGAAAAACAGTACGCGAAATACGACTTAAATAAGCGCATCGCGGCCAGACTTATTTGACAGCTAGTCATTCACAGTTGCGTTATTTTTGCATACATAATTAGTAGGCGGGATGGCGAAAACAATTGTTTCCTGGCAGGCGTTTCCCTCCTTCCCTTCCTCCTCGCGCGCCCCTCGCGTTTCCCTCGCGCCCCAAACCCCCTTTCCCTTTCCTTTCAAACGCCTGCAACGCAGGCTATTTTAAGCTTATAAATGAGTTCCGTCAGCCTTTCTTCGCTGTTCACAGCCAATGTAAAATAAGCGAAAAATGGGTTGAAAGAAGTCTTCTTGTAACACGTGGAGATACCGACAAAGTGAAAGGTTTATAGATCTTTTTCCCGAAGTAAACATCGGCCACCATGTTGAAAGTGTTCCGTTTATGTTACTCTTACATAAACAGTTTGAATTTCACTCGAAAGTCCGCTGTACGGCTTGACAAGAAGCTTGGAACAATATTTCTTCACATTGTGTGACTTCGCGTGACAAAGTGATGTGGCATTACGGCTGTTGATTGTGCAAAAATGTAATAACAAGAAAACTTGGGTTTTCGTCTTCTTTCGAATTTGTTTTTGTTTGAGTATGTGTAAAATAATATTTTTTAGTTGCTTTGTGGTAATTTGTAATGTTGTTACTAGATTTATTAATGTTAGTGTGAGCCTACGAATCGAACCGCTGACTGTACGAAATTGTTCGCCATGTCACATGAAACAAGGGTTTTTTTTCTAAGCTTTCTGCTCAAATAGACCCTTTCCACGGTTTTTTCTAAGTTTTGACATTGACAAGTTAAGGAAAGAACGCCTTTAAGTTATTAAAATTGGCATGTTTGAAGTGATTTGTAGCAGATTAACGAAGACATAGCTCCTGAAAGTCGCGAAATTTTACAGACGGGGGGGGGAAGCACAAACTTGCCCCACCACCACCACCACCACATAAACGTCTGTAAATTTTCGCAACTTTGCGGAGCTATAATTTCGCTCGTTTAAGACGTATCACTGTCAAACTTTGGCGAGTTTACCCATTCTAAGACGCTTTTTACAGTGGTATCCACAGATTCTCCCTAACTAGCCGGTCCATGTCAAATGTTGAAAAAATGTGGAAAGGTCTATTGAACCAAAAACCAGCTGGAAGTTGGTTAAGAGCGATGCAAGTTTAAAGAATCAGACGGTTACCTCGCGAGTAAACTTCCACCTCGCAAAGCTGAAGAATCTGTTCCTTCGTGGTTTTAATGCCAAGATATCGGCCAGTTGTCAGTGGATTTCTGTAACACACAGCGGAAGCTATAAACTATAAAAGTGTACTGTC